CAGTCACAAGTTGGTTCTGACAACAAACCGCTTTAATTTTCTTCATATCTTAGAATTTTTAACTGAAATATTTAATGGCGAAATGTATCATTATTTTCCATTCCCAGTGAGCAGGTTTATTGCTGTCCCAAACGTTATTCTCACTACATGGTGTCACGAACTTGTTTCCCGTTTTATGAAAATGGCTTTGGCGAAGGTGACGTATTCGCATTAATGTCGATTAGCTTGTTGCATCTGGTTCGTATACGTCAACCTGTACATGCGTATAAGCAGTGGATTTGCTTTAACACACCTTGATGAACAGCAGACCACACGGTAGTATGAAGCATTGTGTGACCTTGGATTCAGGGAAAAGAATTGCATTTTCCTTTAACAAATAAACACTATCATGGTGAAAAATGTGTTCTTCTAGGTTCGCATTATCTTGGTAAGGAGCGCTGACAAGTACAGCAAAAATATTATTTGTAGCGGGATATTTATACCCACAGTTTTGTATTTGCCGGAGTTTTTTTCTTTTTGGCATTAGCTAGAGTCAAACCAATCCCAAAAGGTCACATGTTCCCGATTCGCTTAGTTGTTGACAGTTTATTAAATGCATTCATGGAATATCTTACAGCATATTCATTATCAACCACCTTTCATCCAAAAATGATCGGTGCTTATTTATGGGCATCGATTGGTATGATCTTCTTAAGTTCATCTTCAGTAGTTTTCTAAGTGGTTTACCTAGTGGTAGGTGCCCCTAACCAACGTGTCAAACGAACAGCTGTCCCTAGAATAAACAGTCTACTGCCGGACAATATGGCATTACGGTACAGCGTATTACGCTCTACAACAACAAACAAAGTGATTAGTTGTCGACATTTGGGTACATCTGTCGATTACTAAGAGGCATTTGCTATGGTGGGCTATTCTGAGTATTCCAAAAAAGTTGAATACAACAAGTCTCGTGCCTAAAACTAACTGGAAAGGTACGGGTTATTCAACCATGGAATCAGGCGGCGAACATTTGGCTATGCTTATCACTAAAAAGAGAGCTTATTTTCAGTTTCAGTGGTCTTAAGGCCTCATCCTGAAGAACAAATGCTATTCTAATTGTGGAAAATTATGGAGACCGGCCACTCAAATTCATTGCAGAAACCAACGATAAGATGAGACAACTAAGCTGGTTTTCGAACACATTCACTATTGTTTGAAGACACACGTCTTGAAAATTGGCGCCTAATTCGGAACAGACAAATAACTTTCTAATTTCTAAAAGTTTCCAAGTGAATCATCATGAAGTGGGAAAACCGATCACAACAAAATTATGTCATTATTCCTGGTTCATTTCTCACATACATCGTTCACAGTTCTTCAATAGATGAATGGAGCAGGCGTATGATATGCCAGGTCTTTTGAACTACCGGCGGGCGTACAAAGTATGCTCCATTGTAAGTCACAGATACGGAAATGCCTTAGGAGGCACATATGACCCAAGCAATCGACATATACATTAAGTAAACATCCGTGCTTAATGATCATATTTGGCGTAAGCATTTGTCATAATATATACCTTTAGATTTTCAACGGCACGCGTCTTTTCCTAGCAGAATAATCCAATTTCATGTCTTATTCGCTTCATCTGCAATGATTCAACTGCCTCTGCATTTCAGTCATTGCATTTGGATTTCAGTTAACTTTTCGAAGTTGACTCATCTTGAAGTCGACGAGGATATTGCGACAGGCCTCAGCAGTGAAATAGATCAGATGCTATCTACTCAACATTCATTCATTTTGGTGTGCCATTACCTTTCGCTCCTTTACCGATTCTACTAACGACACATCATTTGGGGAAGACATAAGAAACATATGATTTCACGAATGGGTTGAAAATGCCTGGGAATCGAAACTATTCTGCGCTGATCTGCAGTAGCGTTTGTTCCTGTTTGTTAAAAAAATAATTCATTGATTTTTGTTAGCTCAAAGTTCATATGTGAGTTGTTTGATCAATGCAGACCAGGCAACCTACAAGGAGATGAAGCTGACCAAATCATCAAAAACGTGCGATATAATTGATACATAGCAGTGCCTTCCAAACCACACAATCAAGGGTGAGGTCCAGCCCAATATCTGATGTTGACGGTGACCATAGGTTATGGTCCTCATATGTCTTCAATAAGCAATGTAAAACCACTGCCGCTTCACCCTAAAGGATACGAAAATACCCCTTCCCTGTTTTTTTAAATAACTCAACAATTTGCAAACTGTCGCTTGTTAGTATCTACCTGCAGCGCAAGAACATTTGGTGATAGTAAACCAGGTGAAAAATGCATGGCGGGTATATCTTCTGAGAGATTATGTTCATTTTTGAATTTTGTAAAGCCACTCAGAACCAATATGTCGCGCTATCTAAGATTTCCCACTGTCTTCAGTGGAGGACGTAAAACATGCAAGGCTACACAGTTAGAAGAAAAACATTAACTGTGAAAGGACCACTTGTTTTTTGCTTGCAATCGGTCACATGGTCGATGCTATGGTAATCATCGGGTACGTTTGAAATCACTAATTTTGGGTGGACCACGTATATCCTAATGACACGAAAATGGGCGTACCACATTTGAATGTCTACCCTTTCAGTGTTTTGTGCTACGAGTAAACACAAGTTGCTGCTTCTAAAGACTTTGGAGCAAATTGTATCTGACAGGAATTTCCAGTGTTTCGTCAAAGCGATTTTTCCCCTTTGACGTAGGTTTATGTGAGTTTCCAATTTTCCAACATTTCTGGATTTAGAGAACAAAGAGTAGGTTATTCCCTTCAAGTTCTAGCGGACAATGAGGAGCTTTGTTCCGCCTCCGCATGGAGTGTGACCATTCCAAAACGCTGACGACCTGCGAATCCGACATCCCTAACAAATTTCACTCAGCTCGAAAGGACCCATGGCAAAGAATGAGCTTATTTTCCCATAAACATTCTCGGAATGCATGCACCATATGATATCGATTTGTTAGGTGAGCGAGTGCATGATCCTGCTTCATGGTCGGCTCCTACAGACCCGGCAGCGGTCGCCATGATATGGGAGTAAAATCCTCCCCGGAGCACGACGTGCGTTGCGCACATCGTTATGACACAAGTTAATCGCGAAATCAGTTTAATTTCCTTTTGTTCCTGGAGAGCCGTATGGGACTCAGGTTTTAGGCAGTAGATCTCAGACAGCGAAGCGTTGGAACAGTAACCCTAACCTGCACCACCTCACACTGCTATCCATAAAAAAACCTCTTTGTTTTGCATTTGTTTATTCCTTGTGACATGAACCATCCGTTTTAGACGCTGATATAGGCCAGAATTTCAGTGAAGTACAGGTGGACAGGGGAGATGTGCGCATCCTAGATAGGTGGTCTAGATTTTACGCGCAGACTTCAGTTTCTTGACTTCCAGGTTCTGAGTTTGCAAAACACAACACCATCCTTTTTAACACTGGACCTGGACTCACGATCACCAGTCGGATCGATGGACTGTATGGTACTGATGGAGCGGATCTATTCCGTTCTTCATGAGTTTACATTGGTCTCCTTTTTTATTCGCGGTGATAAGCAGATATGTTCTCCTGCAATATGCACAGATTTCTCAGCTATGCATTATAACTCATCGTGCGTACGTGAAAGCAGTTCGTAGTATTTAGGAGACATAAAAAGTCGGACCCTGTTCCGGTGAGCTACAGTTCTTGCACTAAAATGTTAAATGCAAATGTGGTGATCATCAAGCCCATTTTTGAACTATACATTAGCAGTGTCACTCACGAAGCTCGCCTCCAAACTGAACGCCAGCTATAGACTGGAAAGCCTGGGTAAGATAAATTAGCTAATTATGAAACACATTTCGTATTATTATCAAGCAAACCACCATACGTGGATTTTTCTTGTGTACGCAAAGCCATCAAGCCCCTAGATTTCCATGCACTTCAGCAGAACTCCTCGAACATGCGCCGCCCAACCGTTTGAACGCCGACTTTTCTGAAGGGTAATGTGGATTCTTAAGCACGCTCAGCGCGACCGAACCTACTGTTAAAGCTTTCCAGTTTCGAAACAAATATCATGGGTATAGCTAACCATAATGGATCCTTTTCGTGGATTTTACGAAGCTCTTCCACCCATTCACGATGATCAATTTCGAAAAACTCAGCTGACCCAAATATTCCATTACTCATAGATCCCTTTGCTCTACTATGAAGGCTCGCTTACAGCCTTCTTAAACCAAGGGTAAAATACGTTGGCATTCTGGGTTCAGATTTTTTCATACATTACCATAATGGCTCATGGCTCCACTGACGTCTAGATAGTCATTTCTTTAATGCGAATCGCACCTAGGCCAAAACAGAACTGACTGCGTCAGAGATTCCTGTGCAGCTTTTGCTTTATTAAAGTCTACTTGACTGACAATCGGACGCATTCTTCCGTCTGCGCACAACTTGGTGCCGAAACGGAAACCTAGTCGACAAGTCCTAAGAAGGGCTAAGCCAGTCGTAGGATATTAGAAAGTTCCCATCAACCTTATTAATAGTGTTTTATCCAGAAGACAACCATTGCTTTATTTGTACAAATCTATTTGGTAGTATTTACCTGTGGTCCAAGCATAAATGTTCCCAAAACACATTTACTATATACAATACTGAATTAATGGGTACTGTTGGCGACAGAAGACGTTTGACTATTTTTTGACGCTTTGAAAGTAATGGCACATTAGGGGGATGCCCGACTGGGCCACGCACCACCATACGTTGGTTGGCAAAAGCTCGTCAAACACAGTTCACTCTTTACTGAGTATGATCGGCTCTTCTGTTTGTTGTCGCGCAGACATAAAGAAGCTTCGATTGTCTCAAACCCAAAGTTAAAAAAACCGCTACGGTCCCTAAGCAGCCAGATGCATTACCTTCCTGTACATTAGTTAAAATAGTGGCTGTTGAAACTTGAGACTAGTCAGCCGCATTTTGTTAACCTTGTCCTATTTTACCTTTCCTTAAGCTGCTGACCCCCCGCCGCCAACTAACGTACAGGGATTTCGGGTAAATCCTACGAAAATTTTAGTTCGTTGGCATCATCCTTCTTCCGATGTCACGATTTCACACTACGTGGTCTACCACAAAGTTGAGCACAATGGAAGCGGCAAGCCTGTTGGATGGACAGGCCAAGTGAAGGAGCGACTGGCAACTTCAGCTGATTTGGTGAGAATCTCCATTTCATTTTTCTATACCTACCATCAACACCTCTAAGAGAAGTATATCTTTAGCGCAATCAGATATGTGATAAGCTGTCTGTCTGGTTATACCTTTAATGTCAGTTGATTAGCAGCCTCAATACTTAAAAGCCTGATTTTCTCACGTAGATGCTCCGGTCAATTGACAGTAGAGTGAAGGCGTCAGTACGCCAGAAGTTATCCTAGAGATTAGCTTCCATAGGTTCATCTCTTTAACCAGATTATCAGTCAATGTACTATTACGCATAATCCTGTCTTACTTTTTACAAATTTTTAGAACAACTACTTCTTTCCATCGGTTAACTTGGAGTCCAGATGCTCGTGAGTTGGTCAGTGACGAGCGGGGGCAAGCTACCCGATTAGCAGCAAAATGGTAACAATATCTGGATGTATGCTAGCAAAGTTAAGATCAGGTAAACAGCAGTCCTCGAATGCGGATTATCGGAGAGTTGCGCTCACTACATTCCCTAGAATTAGTAATCTTCCGCTGACAAAGGACAGTATTAACCAAACCAAGATGAACAGTCTGAACTATTAGCTCAACTCCAAAAGCGGTGAGAATTTCCGTGTTATATAAACCGGGTGGATTGATATGAAGCGGCCATCAGAAGATAAGACTCCCTATTTATATTCATATAGGAATATCAGGAAGCCCAGAAGCTAGTTTTAGAAAACCGACAGACGCAAGGACATCAGCCATTAAAATGGTGAGAGTAGGACGGTGCAACCCAATAGTCAAATCAGATCGTAACGCTATGCATACCTGGAACGGGCCAATCAAAACAATGGAGCGGATTAATGACCAAACCAAAGGAAAGTAGGTTATAAGGCAACACAGATAAACGGACCAATGAACTCATTAGAATCTCCTCCTACAGTTAGCCAAACGCAGTAAGATATGACGGGTGCCCTTCAAATGGTATACAAAAGGTGATTAGGTAAGAAGGAAGTACCCACCGAACTGCGCACTGGTGATCTCTGGAGGCCTAGCGACGAACAGTTTCCAAGTTAATTGTCAACCTCAACAAACAAATCAACACCCACCTGATTAGAAACCAAATATCGTACCCGATCTGCCAATTTTCGACACATTATCAAGATGAGGGTCTTGTACCCTGAGGCTAACAACAAACGCTTGACACATGCTTTGTTTTATGAACTGGTTATGCGATTTTTTCTCTGTATTATTGTGACTGGTTTTTCAAGGGCACTCAGGGTGTTTCACCGGAGTTAGTCCAAAGAAATATTACCTAATTCAAAATCGGCTGAAAAGTGGATAAAATACTAAAGACACGACAACTTCTTGTGCACGTCGACTAACGAATATTGGTAGGCGAGGTCAAAATTTTAACTTCTGTGCGGATAAGTAAACTAGTGTCTGCAGGACAGTTTTGCATGAAGTTAACAAGACAAAATTTTGATGATCCAGCTTTTCCGTCTTTTTTATGCTCATTCTACACCCAAAGTACAGCAGCCCGATTAAGTGAGTTGAGGGAATATGGTGCGATTTTGGAAGTATCCGACAAACGACCAAGATAAGCGATGTTTCACTTAAGAGATGTTTACACTGCACAACCAAATAATGCGTGTGGAGATGATCTTTGAACGCAACGCAATCGGCGCTCGAATGTTTTCTATATTTGAACGAGTTTTACGAAGGTGGGGAGGGCAGTTCATTAGTCACTAACCGTTTAAAGGCTTTCAAGCAGTTGTTCCACTACAGGCCAAGATATTCCCTCCATGGAAAACCTATCGTGTAGAAGTATGGAGAGCATGACAAAAACTGTCAAAACAAACGGATATAATCTAAGACTCAGAAGTGCCTATCACTACATTCTCTTTATCCAAATCCGTTCTAGGTAGCAACCGTACGGTGTCAACCTTAAGACTTATGCTCTCCGCCATTCGGAAGTAAATCGGTTTGTTAAAATTCTAGTATAAGATGCATTTTAAATATGGCTTTATATTACCTTTGAAAGTTGTATAGCGGTCGGCTCATTGTTGCCTCCTTCACCCATATCAACATAAAGCTACTGGTTTCTAATCTTTGTGAAATAATTGGTCGAATGCTTTTGGCTCGGTTTCTCCAGTTTATGCTAGGGCGACCAGCCACATAAGATTCTCCAATAGTACAGTGTTAATAGAGGAAATTCACGGGTTGCACCAAAGTTTGGCGCAAATCACTTCTTTGGGTAGTATGGTGCACCCCAATATATCTTTTTTATTCATGTTATTTCAATTTGTCCTTTCGTTTAACAGGACAACCTACATAGTGATTGGACTTACGCAATACGAATGAGCTCCGTGGATACCCGTGGAAATGAGGGTCCCACCTCAACGACCTTGCTGGTGAAACCGCTAGCAGACATTGGAATGAAGTCCAATTACAGTGCAACCCGAAGATTGGACTTTCAAGAAAATGCTGATCTGACGTCTGCACGCGCTTTCAAAATTCCTGATTATTACGCAGTGCGAAATTTAAAATGTGCTAAGGAGGAAGTGGACAACGTTGGTCTAGAATGGCTCCCACCGTCGGAAGCCAATCACCTGGTAGAATACGAAGTAAACAAAAAATTTTTACACTTAGGATTGTCCTCAAGTGTGAAGATGCTGTTTTAGTGTATCTTATGCGGTTGACGATGCGTAAACAATCCTGAAGGAACTTGGGGCTTCACATGGCTTCTACATTGTGTATAGGTACACTTGAGCAACACAGATCATTTGTTTATGGTGGGCTACAAGTCAGCTAAAATAAACATGAACTATACAAAAGTGCAAAATAACTTCGCACGTTGAACAACCGTGCAGTTTTGCCAACGAAATTTAAGTGGACTTAACTCAGCACCGGCAAAGTTGATAAAGAATAGTGTAGGTTTACCAGGGTACGTTCCTCTGGAACTCCAACTAGTGTGCTCTCACCGTGAAAAGTGGCTGGACAAAATAACACGCAAAACAATGAGAACATTTCACGTAATACTGCACATTTTTGCCAGGTAACACTCAACTTGATCCTAACACTCATTGGAGTTTCTCTGAAACTGGGTTCTGTGAAATCGTAGACACTTTGTTACATGTTAAATTAAGTGTTCTAGAGCAAATTCACTAGCAAGACAGTTATCCGAAAACTGGGTCTGAATTTCCTCAGGTAAGGTGTGGTCAGATGTGGACAACAGGTAGATTGTTTAAGATGTTAGGATGGATTTATACAGTTCATCTGGTACCGTATTTCGTGAGGCGATTTTCTGGCTCTGTGCTGAATTCAATTTTCTTTATGAATATTGTGTGTTTGACATGTAGCACTAACAACATCGGTGAATCACCAGTACCAATAACGTGTCATTTTTGTTTTCAATGACATCTCCAGAACTTGACCAAAATGGGCCATTCGGTCTAGACGCATTAGATAAGGATAAACGCAGTTCGTTGATAAGTTTATTCAAGGCTTGAATATCCCAGTATCCCAGAAGTATTCTTCTCTAGAGTACAATTTTCTTGGTGTCGTCTGAAATTCTGGTTGAGCTAGGAAATTCGTGACTAGTTGAATCAACTGCAACCTGGTTACTTCTCCAAATAAGACTTTGTGTCGGAATATTTGATGTGAATCATAATCGGACAGCTTCTCATTCCCTGACTGTCTAAGTACGAAACAGGAAACACCGCAACGCTAATATCCTTTGATACCGACTTAGTGAAGTTATGGCCAGCTAATTAAAACTTTAGTTCAGAAAAGCACACGGGGGTACTTTACCTCTCATATCGAGGAGCCTTCCCTGACTTGAATGGATTTGTCCAAAGCGATGAGTAAGCTTTGGATACGTACACTCGCACTAACACAGGATGGAACGTTTGCAGTAAAAAAATCAAATGAAAGCACATTCGTAACTGGAAAAGTTACCCGCCCCCATGCACCAATTTGCCAAATATGGCAGACGTTTACTGGCTCAATCATATCAGTTTTCAATGGGAAATTCATCGCTAAATATACCACCCGTGGAAAGCACTTGATTCTCGGACAAATATGCAAAAGGGTTTTCATAAAAACTAATACTTCCAAAAGCACCTTCTGGGTTCTCTTGGTCAATACCAACCTGGGTGTTTGTGCGTTTATATGCACTCATTATTGCTATAAAGTATTTTCGGGCTTTTTGTGGCTGGTTGACAGGTTTTTCCTCGGAACTCCCTTCATTGTTATAAGCATCATCATGCAATTAAGGTTCACGTAATCATTTCAAAGTCTGGTGCTTCTTCAATGTGTACAAAATTTTTTGCAGCATGTTATCCACGATGGACGAAATAAAAAGTGCCAACCATGTCATTTACTAAGTGCCTTACGAGATGTATCTTTCAGTAGTAATTTTGAATTAAGATTTGAAGTAATTAATGAAAATTAGTTTTCATGATTTATTCTCATGGTTAATACAAACCGATATATACAAGTGAAGAAAGGATAGATGGGAGTCTGTGAGTAACGCCAGATAATTGTTTACGTCATCACCGATTGGCCTCAGTGCCCAACGGACACATAAGTAGACCATGGAAATTACAATGGACCCACGAACGTTTTTATCATGTACCGAGATCTGGGAGCACCATGTCTGTCCAAAAACAGTTGTGACTGACGAATTGCGCTTAGTTATATAGTGGCCGATTTCAATGAAACAATTAGAAAATTGTCAGTCTAGGGTTAGGACGAATAATGAACTTATCTAGCAAATATATGTTTAGTCTCGTCTATAGTAGCATTCAGTTTGTTCCGAGCGAGTACCTAGTGGGTAGGGTTAAATGAAGTATGGCACCCTCACCACATGTGATCCGTACGGTTCTTCTGCTAAAGGAACGTGGAAAGAATGTCTTACCGGTTTTGAAAGGTGGAAGCCACTTGGCAATTTGATCAGATGGATTTACATTTGAAACGAAACTGGTAAATTATCCTTTGAAAAATAATAAAGCGCAGAAAATGAAGCCAGAAAAGACAGAGTGGAAGCCTAAACTGTAGGAATGGACTTAAGAGAAAATGGTCATAAGACAGGGCCCTGTAATACAGTGAACAACAAATGGTCAGAAATAAACCGGCTTTTTGAGATGCCACCATGCCGGTACCGAACGGCGGAAAGAGGAGCACTGGTGAGTAGTTGTCGATGCAATGTGTCCATCCATCACGACCCACCTGACCGGCCTCAGAGTTGAAGGCGAGATACTTGTGAATGTTTAAATCAGGTTGATATGACAGGGTGTGAGAGGAATGCCTAGATGACTTTGTCATCCGGATAGGTGAAAAGGGCAGATAAGTACGAGTGATGAAAACACTGCGCCCACTTTTCTCTCAGGGATAAACAAAAGTTCTATAAACTTACTTGGAGCTCGAGTTGTGATATCACATGTTAAACAGTGAAGGACGGGTACAGAAAAGAATGGAAACACAGATTCCACACGGAAAATTAGTTGCGTAATGGTTAGCTGGTTATCATCTCTTGAAATTTCAGGAGAACGTGAGGGGATTCAGCAGACAAGTAATGCTGGATCTGTATGAGGGTGGATTGAAGAGTCACGTGTCCGAACTTCATACGTTTGTCTTGGTGGCCGGAATCGTAATCTGGGTGTACTGTTCATCTGAATGAGGCTTTTATAACTTAGGTGCTAGCGCCATAGTCCGAATTTCAATCATCTTGCATTAGGAGTTTGCTCGGATCATCCAAAATTCGGACTTTTACCCCCTGAAAATGACGGCCAATGTAATCAGCCTTACAACGTGTTTGTTTGCCCACTAGCTGTGCGATAATCCCAAATTCGAAGGTATGTTTAGCAAGTATGACTAAGGAGAGACTTAGCACTATAAGTGAATTTAGCAACTAAAGGATATGAGAGCTCTTTTCTTAAGTTCCTAAAGACCCATTATTTGACAGGACACATGGTGTTGCGTGCCACGCTTGAGAAAGGCCTTCAAGAAAATGGTCAACCAATCAATGGTCAAATCTTTGTAATATCTTGGAAATCACTTTATTATAAATCAATTAATAGCCTCTACAAATTGCGGCGTCCAGAGTAGACCTCCAGTAGGAGTAATATGTGAGAATCTCCCCTCTGAGGTGCGAATGGTCTTATTTATGATCCCAACTAAAAAAAGTGACTCAAGGTCACGCGTTGCCCAATGTTTCTTTGCAAACTGAGGTAGCTCAGAGAAGTGCATTACTCTTTTGAAATTAGAAGGCAAAGCAGAAGCTTAGATTATTATGGACCTGGCCGTTCCTCACCAGCACCTTACTTGTGGCAATTTAAAAGTGCGGTGATAAAGTGCAATATTCTGGAAGTAAATAAATTTTGGACAATATCCTTCCTGGGGATCCGCACTTTTAAACCCTTAACAGTTTTAACCGGGTGAACAGTCTGCGTACCTTAGTTTTCATGGACTGTTCTGGTAGATTTTCTCTTCTAATTCCTGGATGAGTTCGCAACAGTATACGATCATATATCAAACCCAGCTGGTTGCGCATTTAAGGAGATGAATCTGTCGAAAGAAATGAAGTTGCTTTGTTCATTTTACTTCTAAATTTTGATCTCCAACAACATTTTATGGATGCGAATTGAGCAGTTGGTTACAAGTTACTCGTGATGGCTCTACATCGGATTCACATTCTAATTCATTGGACTGGAATGTTGTCGTCCGTTCTGTTGAAGGTAAACCTATCATCGCATGACTAATTTACATAATCATTCTTGTTCTTTGTCAAATGTCAACCTGTCATGCCACTGGTAGGGTGTCTGGTTCCACGCGTTTAATTCTGTCTACTTAACGTCACGTTCTGTTTCATGAGTGTCGCCTTAAGCACAGGGGTTTTGTCCGACGAAACTGAGGTCAACCTGATTCAGACAGGAGATAGAGTGGGCAGATGTTGCGTTGTCGAATAATATTGGTTACCGCGTTCCAACACGTACCTCGACCGAATCCAATTGGCGAATCACGATTTTTTCCCAACAGTTGACTGTTGGGATTGTTAAAACTGTTGATCGTTTGAAACGTGAGTGCAAAAAAAAGAACGATCGGCACTGTTGCAACATAGGGGCAGTTCGGTGTGAAATCACTAGTGGATAGCTTGTTCACAGTTAGGCTGTCTCGCTCACGATTGGTTTATTGCCAATTGTGACGGCCTTTTGGCCTAGACCAGCGAACGATTTGCATGTGCGGCATCACCATTCAAGCAGATATCATCAAAGCTTTGTTGAATTCGCGCCGCACTGACGGCGTCAACTCGAGGGGTGAGGAGACATCTGCAAATCAGCTTCCAAGCTCCTCATGATCAATTCTTAAAAAGCACTTGCAGATCATTAAAACAATAGTCAAGTCCATTTGTACTTGAGATGGACCTGGTTAATACTATTATAGTATATTTTTGAACAGCTTGGTAAAAAACAGGAAGTACATCCGAGTAATTGACGAGGAAGTGTGTTTTGGGGTAATACTAGATAACGCTAGGGAAAAAGGTTCCATTCGAAGGTGTGCCACCGACAGTTCTAGTCAGTCAAGGTAAATTACCAAGCATGTAAAAATATTCGCTATGAAAACCCGTACGTAAAAACCAGCAACTGTGGATAGGACAAACTATTCTGCCCTTCAAAGCGCTGTATGCGCTAGCACAATCATGACTCACACATCAGGTAAAAATGTCCGTCTTACTGAGTCACATGTTAAAGTCCACCAAGAGAATGAACATTCAACGCCATGTACCACGCATAAAACATCGTAGGTATGTAGAGTGCACAAAGTGGCGAACAAACGCAAGAATTTTCAACGATCTTCTGAAGTCGCGGTCTAATAACAGCTTTTGCGGACTGAGGATACAGATCCTTCGATATGAAATGATCATCGGTCGGTGGACCGAAATGTCGACTTCGCAATCGATTGCACGTGGGATTGAGATGATGGCTCTGGAAAAATCATGAGGACCATGCTTCTGCTTCTTCTTATTTCACACTGTCACTCCGCGTCCATCCGAGACTATGCTTATATCTGTCACAGTTGCTCGGAGTCTCCGAACTGCGATTACGTCACGCTTGATGATATGTTCCAGGTGACGGATACATGAGGCTAGTTTGCTAACACATCTGGCATCCTGCGCGATCCAGAGGGACTGCAGAATATGCACCAAACTCACCAGCTGATCAAAGGTTTTATGGCAGAAGATTGTTTAGCCACCACCACCACTACGCGGGCGCTTGTAACTCTCGTCCTATGCAGGTCATATCAGAGCTGGATACCGCGGATAAATGTCCGGAGAAACACGCGATCTGGAAACACAAAACATCCATTTGAGAGAGACGAAACAACGAACTCTCTTAAACCTTGACCGTCAACGCTGTTGTGCGGACTATCGCCCCAAACAGTCGTCAGCACCTTGACCTCGGACCGGAAGCCTCAGATCCCGAAAATCCTTGCCAAATACGGAATCACTGACCACACAGCGCAGCACCAGGTATTGCGTAGACAGAGGCGTTTCCATACGCGCCCTCCGCTGCATCAGGGTTGTCGATACTCAGGCTCCCCTGTGTTGTCTACCGGCGTGGATGTAGGTGACTAGGGTTTACTTTGGTGCCCGATGAAGTCGCCTAACATTTTGCGCGTGCTAGGTGGAGTTGGCCGAGTGACAGAGGTATCAGCTAGTTCCTTGTAATTTCGGTTCTCCAGCAAGGCATGCGTCATCTCATCGAACGGTTTGAGCAGCTGCTTTTAGTTATAGCAGACTCTTTTCATCTTGAAAGTAAGGGGGATGCCCATATATACCACAAGGTCAGTCTTGCCCAGAGGCATGATGAGTTCCTCGGCGTAGCAAAGGGTTTCGACTACGACTGCGGTCGCCGGATGTTTTCTGTCCCAAAAGATCCCTACTGCCTCCATCTTCCAGGCATCACACATCATCTTCCCAAATGGACCGCAGTCTCACTTTCTGCGCACACGACGCAATCATCAGCGACGGCAAAACCCTCCACTAATGTGTCATGTTTGACCACTAACTGTCCAACAACCCCACCCATTGACATGATAAACAATGATGTAGACGGTCTACCTTCCTCACACCACTGTGGCGGTGAATTTCGGAACTGTGAAGGACTGCTACAGAATCCGAATATAACTGTGCAATTTATCAAACTAGTGGTGACGGTGTCTCAGACGCTTCGGCAGATCTGACAATTGTCATGCGAAAGGGAATCACATGCTTTCGAGATATCAATAATCGGAAAGCTGAGGTTAGAACCAGTTGCTGAAGACTGACAAAGCAGGGCATGTAACAGCGATGTAGCTCCCAAACAACCATTTCGATGTGGAAATGCAAACTGGGGTGAGGACAGTTGTAATCTACGGCTGAAGCAATCAGCAAGGCCTCATGGAAGCATTTAACGAGAATCAATGAAACAGATCGGTCTCATTTGGTTTGATGAAGTCCGATTTGGAACCTTCGGAACTCGAGCAAATGTGGTTGAAAACCTTCAGTTAATAGGATTAATTTGAAGCACCCAGCGAGGGCTTTGACATTGTACTTGCAAGTCATTTCGAGATTTGTCCCCAGATCTTGGGACAAATCTTATAAGCTGATTGTTAGGCCGACTTCCTCACCTATAAATGGTTCGAATAAACCCGTCATCTGGTAGCACTGTGTGACTTGGCCGGCCATCTACGTGTTTTGGAGCAGAGAGCACCTGTTTCTGATACTGTTTGGCGTCCAGAGGTAGACCGCAGTTGTTTTTTTACACAGATCCTTCCATGACCCGCGGCGTAGCTGGCACGGCGGACTTGCTTTCAGTTGCCCAGCACACGATGAACGAACTGACGATGACGTCGGTAGACGGGATTCCACATATGTGGAAAGGTCTTGGAGGCGTGGAGGTCTAGAAGCAACAGGATTTGCTCCGGTGTCACGATGCCAGAATGTAACCCTCGAGCAAATGCCAGAAGGTCAAATCTGGCGAAAAAATTGCCAGAATGGAATTTAACATGACAATGGATTTTTTCGAATGCTTCATAGTTTGGCGAGTGTTTACCGAGTGGTCATGGCCGCTAGATGATGATTCGTTCATCCGTGCTTGTCAGTTACGCACTCGTAACATGGTATTGAGGCTGATAACCGAGGAACTACTACTACCACTGTCACAGAGTGCTAACTCACGAATAGATTAAAACGATCGCAGTTTATATTTGAATTGAATCAATGATCCATAGCATTTTATTGTGAAATAAATTGTCCATTGTAATAAACTAGCTAATTATGCCTGAACTTATGCACTGAGATGCACATACAGACTAGTAATCAACGCAGTTCCCTTCCTCAGGAGCCACATACCCAGGAATTAATCGAAAACTGTCTCATTCAATTTCCTGCTTTTCTGATTTTTTGGTGTCATTTACGTCTTTTTTAACCTGAGTGATCTTTTACTGAGGAGCTCCATGGATTTACGTTCAGTATCATTGAAGGCCGCCAGCACTGATGGATACTAAATAGGTAAGAAAGGTCAAATTAACCAATGAAATATACTGAATCTTGGGTTGCAATTTTCTGTCAGTCGATAAACAAGGTTTCGCCATACAAGACGAACTCCCTGTGGATGTCCTCAGTCTGAGAGTGCCACAAGCGTCTCAAACAAGGCCTGGAGTTTGTACTCAACTTACCCATCTCAGGAACCAAACAAATTAGGTAGGTTTCACTTTGATAATTCTAATACGTGCATATGGCAAGCTGCAGTAATTGTGGTGCGAAAAGCAATTGCGGTGACTCTTTTTAAGGACATTTCAACAAAAAAACCTGAGTTCTGTTGTTGACCCGATGTGCATTCAAATTTGCGGCAGAGTTACACGACGCCGACTGAATTTAAAACTCTCAGGATGATTCTCGTTCTAACTCTCTCCGGTGGCATTCACGAGGCAAACCGTTTGACGCGACCCCCATCCTTGCGGGTACTTATGTAAATTATTCAAAGCCATTGTAAAATTCATTAGCCCACTGATACCACGTAAGTGTTACTTGACTTCTACATACTATCCACTGCACCTGAGTGGCTATTCAATAACTTGGAGTGTGTGGCATTTATCTAGGATTTTCATGCCGGTTAGGGAATCACGAATGGGGCGGATACCCGGTTTTATAGCAAAGAATAATACAATGGTTTAGTCAATGTGAATACTTAAAAGGAACCAAAGATACTACTAAGAAGGGCACTGAATCTTTCACAGCTACACTGTACGAATGGGATTAACCGTACTTGTATGTATGGTTCAGCTGGTACTCTGTGCACATCAAATTCACCGCTTTATTCCTCATACTTTAAATTTCAGATTCAATACACAGGACGTAAAGAATATTTTACCAGTCTCGGTATTCTCAAATCGGTTCATCTAAGCGAAGGACGACATCGACAAAGTCCAGTGAAATCCGAAGCATTCAAACCGTCTACCTGGCCTTTAGACGGTCTGATAGGTGTTGACAACAAACCCGAACTTCAACACTTTCAACTGGAACGATTGGAGCCGAACAGTCAATATGAGTTTATTGTGCGCCCCGTGTATGTACTGGACCGCGCAACTCACTCTACCGAAAGACAAGAAGGAATCTCAGTGACCATTATTTGTCACACAGAGTGGACAAGTAATACTACCGTTATATCAGCACCCCTGTGGATTGCATTATTATTTGTTTCCTTACATCGCTACTCAGCTAATTACCTGCCGTGCACAACGCTTAGCGTTCATCTGCAAATTCTGATCCTTCAGTAGGTTACACAGAGAACCACGGCTGATTACTGTAATACAAAGCATTTTCTAGACGCTGTTTTCCCAACTTTGGACGTGTTTTAAGCAACCACCTTTACAGTGCACAGGGTGGATGAAGTTCTAAGAAAGGAATATGAGTTTCCAAGTGGATTGATAAAATATTTGCAACTAAACAATGCCAGTTATTGACGGTTTGAGAGAACGACCAGGATGATTTATGTGGAAGAATGCTTCCTGAAACTACTTGCATTCAGCTATTCTCCACTGTTGCCCTCCCTTTAGGAAATGTCTGATCGTTTACTTATAAGGTTTAAGGATTAGGACTGTGGAATCTGATAATTAGGATGGATACTGGTCCAGAGGCTGTAGTAACAGAACTGATCACATTCGCGTTAAATAGGCAAGACATGAGATATCTCAGGCCCAATATTTAGAGCGGTTTCGTGTTGCGACGGATGGAGAGTTCATGGGTGAAACGCAACAATTTTGTGTCCAAAACACCAAATCCCAGTATTATTAACGTTTTACGGAAAATGGTAATGTTGGGCGACCACTTACACCGCAAATTTGTTCAATTCAGTGTGTGCCGGATGGGTGAAAGCTTGGACTTTGGAAATTTTCCAAGAAATTTATCAATTTTTACACAGTATACATCTATTTTCGTTGAACATCCGCAGCCAGCAAAAAATAGTTCATTCATGGATTTGGAAGTGGATTCCAAAATCTTTTGAATTATCGGTGTCATAAAAACAGCTCTCTTCTGAAATAAATCTTTGGAAAGTCGGAATTTTCATCGCGTGACTGCAAGCTCAAAAAATGTATAAATTAGGTCGCATCTTATTAATGCGCGGGACAGAAAAATAGATTTCAAAATAGCTTCCGCGTGATCAATTTTGTGAAATGAGTTATCGGCCAGTCATATGAAATTGACACCTTTGAGCCGACGTTTGCGGATACGAACATTTTTCTACTAATATTGTGTGTGAATTTCATTTTGAGTGGGGATGAGTAGTCCACGGATGGAGAACAGGCAGTTTTTTGCATAGTAGTATGTCTCTTGCTTATTGGTGTTCACTAAGCCATACAGACATAGTCACAGTAGGTACAGTTTACACAAATCCCTGCTGAGTTGTCAAAGCTGGTCTGCATGCGTTCATTGTACAACATCGGACAGGCGCAGAACTTGCATAGAAGTAGTACACCACTGATAAGGTTGCTCAAAATTCCTCGACATCCCACAACCGGTTTCGCCCTTCTTGGGGCTCATCAGGTAGGCGCAGTCCCAGAGTTTCCGTTGATCTTATGTTCTACTTGAATTTAGGTTGCGCGAAAATAGCGAGATAAGCTTATCTGCAGACAAATCTGGTTTTGAGGTAGACTCACCCAGAACGCAGCCGAATTTCTCGTTCATGATGCCTAAGTGGTCCTGTGCATTCAAAAATGGATAAAACGTGTTAAAGATATCGATGCGTATTTTTATATGGTTCCCAAAATCCTTTTAACATTCTGCCGGTAAGCCTTCTTAAACCTCATCGGCATGGCCTGCTGTGCTGTGTCCCTCGGCAATATAATGTTACAAGTGCACTCAAATAGGATTTTCAGGATCCTTGGTTTTTAACAGCCAGTATTGATCCGGTAAAAGACTCCCAACAATCTAATAAGTAGTGCTATTTGAAAAAAAATCCACAATATTCTGGACATCATTCCAGCTCAGAGGTGAAGTGTCCCTTCTGTAGTACATCCGTTTGGAGATCATTAGGATTGAGTGATTTAGCCAAATTTTTTAAAAGTCCTCCAGGTCAAACCAACTAAGTTTGAAGGAACATAAATTTCTGGGAGATATACATTACATGAAGCACGCATCAATGAATATACACGATTTCTCAAGAGACTAAGTTGTTTTATGTAAATTCTCACCAATTGACCTTTTTACACCCCTACGAGTGTCGGTTGATCAAGGAATCAGATACGTGTGTCCAAGCTTAGGCTAAAATTCCTTCATTTTTGACGTTTGTAACACCGTGTTCTATTTTTTATGGCCTTGTCAAGTGGTCTATTTATGTAAGAGACACAGGACGGTACGCCAAATAGGGGTCACGAGCGATATTTCGTCTGTCAATGAAGTGTTCCGGAGAATGATTACATTTTTAGGATATCCGTCTGTTGAAGTCAACCTGAAGAATGTCCTGTATGGTATTTTGTAAACAAAATTTGATCACTTGATGAGAGCCAGATCGACAGCGTACGGGGTGCAAGGATTTAGCCAGTTGAATCACGATGAATCCCTAACAAGAAACTCCGTTTCCCACAATCAAAGACTAGGAATAGTGGTCTGACTTTCCATCCGGGAAAACGTTCGGTAATATGGTGATGTGTGATGATGTTGTGATGTAATACCCAACTGCACCACAAATGACCTAGACAATAAAATCCGGATCATTTTGCTAATAGGAATTTCAAAGTTATCAGCAGTTGTATCCGGCAAATCCACACTCATTATCTGAAAAAAATCGTCCAGGTTTTAGGTGTGGCTTCAAAAGTGTAAGAACCCTACCAGCTTGAAATCCTTTTAAGTATTTGTTTTCCAAGTGTACAGACAGTTATTCTCACTGAAAAACAGATGTACTCACTTGAGGCAATCAGCAGGACTTAAGTTACAATGAATCAAAATCCTTTGTAGTACATCCTTATTGTTATCTATATTCGATATTTCAGAAACCTCAGATTGTATATGTCATTAAGTTTGGATACCGTAAGAAGACTCGCGATTTTCTTCGTCCGTTTTTGGCCCGGCTCTCAAGTGCGGGGTACAACTAACCACATTTGTAGTCAAATCCGACGATGGACCACTTCACCATTTCCTTGCTGCAAGCATCATTGGATATATGGACTTACTGAGTTACTTGAAATAGATACAGTTGAGTGGTTGGTACAAAAAGCCGTCAGTACAAATCTTTTTGTCACGTTTATAATAAAAAATTACCGCGAATGTAATTTTGCAACGTTTACAAAATATCTAACCGCCTCTCTTGAAGCTGGCTTATCCTGGAACCGGTTAGTCCTATCACACTTATCTATGATGCAGATAATAGTTATGTAAGTAACTCGTGCTTCCAAATGCTCTCAAACCGATAAGATGAGCAAATATGTAAGCTTATTCTGTGTTGACGACTGAACATTACATTTTAACGCCTTTTTCTACATGCAGGACCGACGTTCATCCGTACCCCCGATTTGGAAATGGTGCATATGGCCCCAGTGGATTCGCCTACCTCAGCTATATTAATTGAATTACGAATTTTTCGAGTGTCCGAAGAAAACGGGCCGATACACGAATATTTTGTCATAGCCGCTCAGGAACGTTGTACTGAAACGACGGAACACAATGTCCTCAGAGAACCCGACCTTTACACGCTAGCGGAACTATCCCAGTCTGCAAGACACGCCTCGACCGATGGTCCGTACCTTGCCATTTTCTCCACTACGTCAAGTTTATTTAAACCAAACCAAGAATCCTCCATCATAATGCTCGGAACTGAGCAGCTGTCCCGTTTACGTCGCTTAGCGGAGTTACCGATAAACAATTCCAGCATGAGAGAGATCCGAGGAATTGAAACTGCTGAAACGTATTCAGAAATGCTTCGTGCAGTTAACAAACCCATAGAGGCACACTGTATCTACCGGGTTGCCTCTAGAGTCTGCTCGCGTGTAAGTTCTAACTACAGAATCGCAACTCAGACAGTAATTTACACCGGGTTGTTCTCAGAAATGATAGTGGACAAGTGAGTGGAATTCCACCTGACAATCGGGGTCAAGGGCCACTAACAAAATTTGGTGACTTCAGAAAACTCACAATGGTCTGGGTGCTATTCCTCTCCATATTCAGCCTAACAACTTTCCTTCATATCTGACTTTGGATTTTCTTCAGGCTAGAGAGATCAGAATTAGACGACCTTTGTTTATTCAACACTGACTGCATCCTGCACAATCCTGCTGTGTCCATTTCAGGGAGAAGATTAAGTTTTATTTTGGTGGTTTCCATCAATCTGAATACAAGCAATTTTAAAGATGACGTTGGTCCTGACTGATCTCTTTCAAGACCCACTGATGAATGGGGACAATCATTAGTTGACTGGATATTACCACAGCATATGGTAAGGTATTCCACAAAAGTGGAACTACAAGACAAATTGAATGGTTGAAGCGTTACTACGCGCATAAGATTTAGTCCCAACAGATAATGACCAATATCATATGGAGACCTTTTTCTATCTTCGAAAATGTTCATTTAACTGAATAATCGCGAATTCCTCATAACAACTCTCCCCAGGTAGTATAAATGTGGAACGAAAGTGCTTATCACCGACGTGAATGATTTTTTCTGAAAATTGATCAATTAGCATAGATATTTTTTGTGTAAAGAACGCCAATTGGCTGTGCTATTGTCAGTATAATTTTAGCTTGAAAACTGGTTTATCTGAGCGTTTTACTAGGGATTTATCATCGTTTTTGAGTTAATGACCGATATTTAACTGAATCATGTTGCGGTTTAAGCCATTTCTGCAAAAATATTTCCAATCTGGTGGCAATGATCGGCCTTCGGGTAACCGACCAGTGATATCGAAACCCGTTTATAAGCATTCTGACTGTTGATCAAATGCTGAGAAATTTGGATAAATCAACATTTATTGACCTGGTGTTTCCGAAATTCGATTTGTTGTTCTTTGTACTCTTTAAGCCAAGTCATTGCTTTTAATTTCTTGCCTTTTTAAGAACATTTCCCCTTTGTCCAACATCTGCTTACATGGACAAGTATGCAGCAAAAGTTCTTCAGAATTCGATTGACTTAATAAGTCAGGTCACATTCTAGTCACTTTTTAGGCAGTGTTAACTGGTCGAGCCAGAAACTGTAAAATCAGTCGATTTGCAATTCCTCAGCTCACCACTGGGTTCTAAGATTTAAAACCAGTTAGAGAGCGTATGTCACTTAATAGGAACCACTGTGTTTATGGATTACTTTTATCGTTGCTTGGCAAAATAGTGATTCAAATTTTCCTGGGAAAATACAGAAAAACCCACAGTGCTGCAAGTTAGCTGGAACCCAATGTTTGCAATTACAGAAACTAACCTTATTACGAGCAATCAGGCATCTATTCAGAGGTATTACTAGTAATTTAGTGCCTTGTATTGTGCGGTTCAGAAGGAAAGATTTCTCTGAATTCACTTGTCAAAACTTGCGTCATCTTTCAGTTATTCTTTCTAATTTGTCTTCCCTGAAGGTTACAGCACCGGACATCCGGGCAAGCTGGAAAACGAATAACTTTCTATTTCCTAATTTAAAACTTATCTACATAGTTGTTAACACCCTGGATTCTTTCGCTTTCAAGAGAACTTGTGTTGCAAAAAAATCGTAATTTTGTGTCTGTAACAACTTAAATTCCCCACAGATTGTTCTTAACGTTCGACAATTTCTCCGGCAAACTTTATATTCTGTACTAAATGTTATGATTTGTTCGTTCTTTGCACTGTAGTACCCAGATGGACAGAGATTGTGTGCTACCAGCAACTGGTCGAACCCAATTTCTCCGATGGGGAGTAGCAATCCTCAGAGTTTAGTGATGGGAAGTGTTCCGCCGTCGGCCCCAGCCTCCGGAGCTTCTACGTGGTCAACAAAAAATCCACCAAAAATAACCGTATTGCTCATCAGTTTGACATGCGGTCTCATTTTCTTTGCACTGCTAAGCGTTGTGCTTGGCTGCCTTCTGAAGCACCGCAAACGCCAAATGACTGAACGTCACGTGCTTGGTTCGGCCACTCAATGGGATGCAAGGATTTGCGAGGACATCAGCAAATCAATTATAGCAGATGAACGACTGAAACCGTATATTTCAGCACTGGCTGAAAAACAACACGGGTGTGCTCCATTCAATAAACACCCCGGTGGGTATATTCTGGAGCGCTCCTCAAGCGGCTTCCATAGCCCATCTGAGTCAAGTCTAGGGCTTTCTGGACTAAAAGCGCTGTATCCAAGTCCTGGTGGGTTGGCTACAGGAATGGTGGTCAGTACCTCAATGAATGCTCCCTCGTTACGGTCTGTAGACGTTGAGGTCACCCCTAACGCCAGTCTCACAAACGAGGCTATACAAGCTCCTCGTCTACTGAGTATGAAAAATTCTACACAGCAAACAGCACAAGGCACAGGACTTCCTATGAATACATGCGACCGCTTCGGGGGCCAAGACCTAGTGAGAATGGGTGTTGGAATGAAAAACGTACTCGGCAACAGTTCATGTAAGTTTCTTTCTTATGATGACGTTTTTCAAATAACATGCCTTGACTATGAAGGAATATGCATGACGCTCTTGGGTAGCGTTTTGTTTTAATTTTCCTTTGAATTATTCGCGATGACAGTTACTTCAGATGGTAGAATTTCAAATATGCTGAAGTGATGTTTTAATACAGAGAATATACACTGGTTGTATTCTACAGACTCTGACAACGGTGTGACCACGTCACCTACAATTCAGTCACATTGAGTATTTTCCCCTTAAGGATTTACTAACGGTGCAGATAGCTGGTGTATTCTCTGCTCATTGTAGTGAGCGTTTTTTGGTAGTGGAAACATTGCACAAACTGTTTATCCCACCCAACTAATCAGCAACAGACTTGATTTTCGCCCGGACCAACGCCTTTTTTAGAAAGCTACACGATTCTGTCATTGGAGGACCGATTAGGGGTCACCGTTTCCTAATATGCACTTTAGATACTTCGGCCGCGGATACGAATGTTTGGTTGCCATGGCGTATCTGAACCCTAAATTAGTCATCTTTCCACCGAATTCTTGCATGCGCGTGGTGCATGTTCTCTTGTTTTCATTCGAAAGTACCTTAAACACAGCCCTATGACGTGTCGCGAAAACAGTCGTTATATTGCTGGAGTAATGCTGCAGCATTGGAGGATTTCCTTACGTTCGAGACTTAGTGCTGTTATCGAATTGATTTTGGAGAGGGTCTCTAACAATTTCACTTGCGATTTCAATGTTCAGACACGTCCTTGCAGCTTGTGAGCTTTCAACTTATCGTAAGAATTGAATACCGAAAATCAGTAATATACATTGGCAACCAATGGTCACATCAGCACATTTGTCTGCAAATTTCACACTTGTGTGTAGGCTGAAATGCTCCCAGGGCACTCGCACTTGGACAAAAGGACGATTAGGTTCTTCAACTCAAAACCCTAGCCGCTGAGGTCGGCTGCATTGTGCTCAATTAACTAAACTTTTAGAAAACAAACGGATACACATGTTGTGATTTCAAAGTAGAGGGTCAGGAGCTGTTTTTCTGACCACTTTCCATCGAGGAACATGATGGAGGAGGACTCTGTGAATTATGTGTGATTATCCTCCAGTACAATTCAGTGGGCTACTGAGGTACGCAAACACACTACGATACGATTTTTTGTCTTCCAGACAGTGCCCAGTCTCCACCCGAGAGTATTCGAGAAGTACTCGAACAATGAAGAACGGTGGATTTGAATTTGTAATGTGTGTAAAAATATCCGCTTTTCCGCCTTTTTTGGCATGCAAATTGCACACTGGAAATGTTTAACTCTGTTAACTCTTTTAACTCTGTTAGAATATCTCATTGCATTCTTCTCCACGCGACCGGTTGACTATCTACGGTAAAAATCAAGTCTCGAAGTCTCCTGGAAAGTCAACCACATGGAGTATAGAATCTATTGCAAATAATGACACACCAAACCCGTGGCTGCTGACATTATATCCTAAAATTTTCAAAAGCCAAATGTGCTGTTTATAGGGCTTAAATGATTTGATCCTCCACGACGAAAACGTGCATGGTAATGTGTGCACATTGCGTACAGAAAATACGACTATTAAAATGTTTCAGGTTTCTTTTATCTTATGTCCCTCTCGAGGTTTTCCCAACATGCAGCGATAGATTTGGAATTAGACATTTTAGCTCACCTGGTGGGACCATTAGTCAGTGATGGACCAATTAAATGAAAATCCGCTTAACTGTGGGTGAATAACTTACGTCGGCGGCCAGATGTTGAGAGTGTGCCTTGATTTTAGAAAGTCAGATAAATGTCTACAGTAAGCTCCAAGATTTCACTCGTAACAATCTCTTCTTGTCACGTATATGATGGCTCCATCGCTATAATACTTAGGACATTTTATTCGCACTAAATAGTTTCGCACAGGTTGCTTTAGTATCAGTCGGAGATCAACAATTACTACCTGCAGTTTCGTTATTCGTGATCAGTAGAGTAGCTTTGCATGTGCCTTCAATACCTCATAAAACTGAGGTGGATTTTTGGACGTTATAATCGGCTGTTTTCGGGATACTGTAACACAAGATGCAAATATTCGCTATTGATCAAGTGCGCATACCCGAGGTTTGGTAGCTCACCCGCTGTCATTCGTGTCTGTCAGGTTCCATATGAGAGGGGTTTTTGTTCCAAAATACCTTTCCGCTGAAACCGTTGGAGAGACCCAAGAAAGAAATTACTTCTCGTGGAAGATTTCCAAAACCCTATAGGTGTTACTATTCCAAACACCAGGACAGGATGATGATTGCCAGCTCAATTTAGTACTCTTAGTTCACCCTGATAAATTTTCTTCAACGCCAATAGGCCACTTATCTCATGCATTTCCAACCTCAGTGTAATTATTTTTATAGAACAGTATTCTTGAGACTGAAATGGGATCAAATTTTCTTTTCACTGATACACCATTAACACAGTTCATTGTTATGCGAAGAAAGCTTATGTCTTGATATGGCACAAGTTAGACCTAGACACAACAGTGGGTTTTTTATAAGCCCCTCCAATCCACAAGCGAACAGTTATTCGTATCATGGGCACCATACCAGAGCAGTCGGTTCTAAACTAAACCACGTTGATTGAAGTTAGGAAGGGTGGAGTACGATGGTGTACAAGGAACTTATATGTTGAGCTTAAGAAATATATACCTAAGGGGAATACCAAGCAGTTGAATTGCAATCGCGTCAGCCTTGTGCATAGCTGGGCATTTCACAGGGGGAAAACCCTGTCCTCAATTATGATCCACGGTTAACCAACCGCGAGGCGATATTTCGAAATGGGATGAATTATGCGGGACTTCACTTCTAAGCTGCGCTCTTTCATTCGTACCAACAAGCAGTACAACATTTTCGACTATCATGACTATCCACTTGATCGTTGCCACTACTAGTTGACACTGTCTATCGAGTTTACGCTGACTGAAACATAAAAGCTTCATAGGATTCGAAACCGATTCGTTCCTTCCCCAATGTTATTGTTTGATTAGGCTTACTTGCAATGAAATGCCTTAGGACGGAGCGTATCTTGGGTGCACATTCTGCAACCCTGTTTGTATGAAATTCATGAAACAGGGCTTAAAAGCCCGCTCGCTGTATGATAATTTGGAAATGCAACAAAAACAGTGATCTACCTCCCTGAAAATTCAAAGATGTTCAAAAATCGGTAAAAAAACACCCGAAATACCACAGATGGTTGAAGATTGCCGTGGAGTGCACGTTAAGATGTAAGTAACTGAAAGTACTCGCATATCGCTGGAACAAGTACGGCGGTTCGTATGCCTAATTTTGAATGTCCGGAAGAATGGCAGCAAGTTCAGAAACTTGTGCCAGCAGTGCTCGAACTCCATCACGTAGTTCATTCGTCCTTCAAGGAAACGTGCAATTGTCCTTCTCAAGTTCTCGACCAGGCACCAGAAACCAGTGAAGTTATGCCGTGCAAAGCTAGTCAAGTGATAGGTAGGTACAAAAAGCATGAAGTCACTTCACAAATAATGAGAGCAGAAGCATCCCGGAAACAATGTGGTTACCAAAGCAAAGGAGAAAATTTGGCCCTAATGCCGGTCTGAAATTTAGCTAATAATTGAAAATGCAAAACTTGCCCGCCGATGTTTCAAGCTTTAATATGGTGGGGGGTTTTGATAGTTATTATGAAAGCTTCTCATGAACGTCACGTTTGGGGCACAGGTTATTTAAATCTCTGCACGCATGCTAAACTTGAGACGGAAAAGGGAAGCCTAATGACAGTACGCACATTAAGATATACTTTGGGCTTGACGACTAATGAAAAACCAGACCTATTTTAAACAGATTTCTGTAAATATAAACACGGCTTGGCATTACGCATTTCCTAGAAGCTGAATTGCTTCTCGTCCAATACACTCTCGGGAAAACCAACCGTTGTTTTACACTCTAGCGGCTCTGCTTTCAGGCGTATCGCTTGAAGTTTATATAGCAAATTCCTGATGCTATTCGTCATCTTTCTATAAGAAACATGGTTCTTAGGATTACCTGTCACTAGTTTGACTGCCCTCGTGTTGTTGGCAGTGTGAGGACGTTCGTTAATTTTAATTTAGATTTTTCCTGTAACTGGGGCCAGTCCATGTCAAAAAGTTGAGAAACACTCTGCAATTAGTTCATCCTTATTGAAATTCACCAGCAGTGTGCATCTCACAAAACTCCAGAGTTTTGAATCCGTAATTTCCAGGCTAGTATTGTGAACACGTAACAGTTTAGCCACGAGCAGCTTATCGTCATTGTGATTAACTTGAAATCAGACAAGAAATGGTGCCACTCATTCTCATGAACTGCTAGTTTTAGAGTGCTACCTTCGTCAACCTCACTCAGTAAGAAGTCACCCCAATAAACTAGTGGGATGCCAAATAGCTATTAAACTAAGCGGGCTGTGGTATGGTAGTGCATACTGGGTAGCATGACAAAATTTCGAATTCTGGTTTCTAGTTCTAAACTGTCTTCATTAAATCCGCCAGCTGGATAGTCTGTGACCCTCCCACCAATCTGTTTACACACGTAAGTTTCTTTCCTCTTGAATGTCCGTCAACCGATTGCTCAATAATGCACCTAAATCCATAATATTTAGGAGGAGTCCTCAGTTTATATGAGCGGTATTATTTTCGTAGCGTTGAATATACACTGCAGGTTGATGGGCTTTACACAATTCAGACCTGGTGAATGCTACAACCTGATCAAAAAAGTTGCCTTGCAACACGCGATAAACTCAAGATGCTTGTAGGACCACAAATAGCATTTTATACTTTGTTTTGATTCTTCCTATGATTCTGGTGTTTATTGCCTCCATGTAATTTTCTGATATTTGACTCAACACAGCATTCACTGGTCGACTGCCGATACCGATTGGTCAGTTCGTGGATTTTGTATGCCACACAAAACATGATCGCAGCTCGGTATTCCGAGACGAGTTTCAAATGATTGAGCGCAATGCAGCTACAATGTGCTACTCAACTCTTAACGGTCTACTGGATCGCAATAAGGAAAAGAATCGATGTGCTACTATTCTTCCTTTTGATCACAACCGCGTTATACTTCATACACACACTGGAGGATGCTATTCGGATTATATCAACGCCAGTTTCATTGATGGACATCAGAAAGCAAAAGCATATATCGCTACACAGGTTCGTTTTAATGGACACTTTTAAGAACCTTGTATTCAAAGTATTGATCACATTACGAAACCATTTTGTTTAATAATGGATATAAAATTTGCGAACTCTCCGGATCAGTACGAGGAAGAGCCTTCTGTTACTGTGTTTAATCCATTTTCAGTCATAGTTATGCAGTTTCTTCCTGAAAACAACTCATATCAACAAACCATTTGGTTCGGATAGGAAAATAATTATGGGTGCTGTTTCCAAATTTCTGAAAATGCACACAATTTGGTTGAAATCGTGCATCCACACCTTAAGAAATCAATTTCGTAACAAATGAAATATGGTAAATAGGATTGTGCTAGCAGGTACGGACATTTTCTTCCTCAATAGCCCAATTTTTGCTTTGATGGGTTGTTCCGACTAGTTTGTGTCCAGAATCTGAACAAATGGAGACAAGATGACACATTTTACGTCGTTAGTTTTGGTCGTATTCCGTTCCACGACGATTCACGGCGAAAACCCCCCAGTAATAATGAGAAAAGAATTTATGGAATGCGGGCACAAACTCGGCTTCATCATCCCGATTGGGATGTGTTGTGTTTCAGCACCATGTTGGCTTATGTTTACATAATCTGCATGGAAGTAAGGCCCCTAAATATACATTTTCATTGATGGGAATTGTCTTCCTCAACTGCATTCAGACAAATTCAACTGTAGCGAGCAATCCCTGAACAGTGTATACACACCACCGCGACCCATCAGAAATGCCACCTCATGCATGTTCTACTGATTAGTTCTCAAGGCAACAACAGATCACAATGAATGACATTTGAATTTCACCTAATCTTGTAGGTTGCCAACAATAAATCCTCAAAATTGCGCCAAACCGTTGGTAAAAGCCCCATCATGTTGAAATTAATCTAGCTGAAGCGGGTAAAAATATATCGTATATGGATTTCAATAAGTTGCGAAATTCAAATTAAGCAAAAAAACGCTCTCATATCTCCTCGCTTTGAGTAAATAACCCCGAGACTTTTCAGGCTTATAGAAGCTTAAGTGTTGGGCACCGCATTTTTCTGCCTGACTGTAGTGAAAATCTGTGCGCTCTTAACGTTGAGGGGGTAGGTAGCGAAAAGGGTAGAAATTTTGTTCTATGGCGTTCTCCCTTTTGACAAATCCATAGAATTCAGGATGCCAAAACGAGTCTGCAGGAAGTGAGTCCGGAAACATGGTCCAGTGGCATGAATGTCAAGTTTACAAAACTTAACTGCAAATCGCAGATGAACATATAATGGTGAAGAGATTTACTGTGTCCAAAATCACCTTTCTCATATCCCTAACTCGCGAAATTTCAAAAGGAAACATGTATCTAGTTTTTAGTATAACCCAACTCATCTGTTGTGGAATACTATATCCCTTAATAATGATAATTATATATGAAGTAAAGTCGGAAACTACGCCCTTCGGTTGGCCGATCGTGAGTTTGGAATAAATCGATCCCGAATGTTGCAGATAAAGGCAGACCTTATGGCACACCTTTAGTGTGCGCTGATGATCTTATCAAATTTAGGTTACGCTTTTCAGACACAACTTCTTGTCTGGGTACATTATTGTATGATTTTTTTCACGTATGGCCGGTAGACCTTCAAAATGAAGCGCTCTTTTAATTAGTGATTAGTGAACGGCTTAGAAGTGTATCTGGTATTGCTCGTTCTACGGTAACTGATGAGCGAAATCCTGGAATTCCTTAACAGGCTCCATTGCTGGACACGATAGATGCGTTTTGGTCTATGGTCTGGAATCAAAACAGCGTCATAATTGTTGCCCTAACTGACCTGATCGAACAGGCGGAAGAGAGATGTGATCAGTATTGGCCCAATACTGGATCACATCAGTACGGAGATATTACGGTGACCAAGCTGGAAACTACCGATTTAGCGTACTACGTCGTGCGTTCATTTGTGATTCAAAAGTCAGGGTAAGTTAATTCATTTTTCATTGGTTGCGATTGTTGAAGTTAACGCGAGTACCTAGTCCTTAAATATTCATGCAAAATTCAGCTTAAATTTAGATGTGAATGTCTCAGAATAGACGCAGAATGGTGACGACCGACAAAAGGATATCCGGTGTTGGGCTTCGGCGAAGAACTGTGAAATCATCGTCTCATGCTCCACGAATGGGAAATTCCACTGTCCTCATACGCGCAGCACTAAATACGAATTGGTGCGCGTATTTAAACGGCCATCATCAGTTTTCTAGATACCACCACTTACATTTCTCAACTGAAAACTGTCACGGCTCTGGGATATAATTTGTGTTCGGGGCTGAGCTCAAGAAACAACGGTTTGTGCACAATTAAACGGAATTATAAGATACGCGGAGTGAATTAGAAAAGGTGTTTGACACGGCTGAATTTTGAAATTGAAGGCAAGAATTCAAAGGTCGGACCTATATTTTGAACGAATGTAATTGCCGGTCGGGCTTAAAGAGTTCATTATGATGAGTGAAACCGATGTCGTAAAATGGCATGCAGAGTGGCACTTGTACTAAATAGAAGAGGTTAAGCCAATCCCCAGCTGGCACAAAAACAGAGGGATTAGGAACAAAAGCAGTGGAACTGGAGCATATCTAAGTGGCAGACCCCCGAAACCTTGGCAAGCTGCCGCAAAAGATTTTGTTATCAAGTTTGGTACCCTTGAGCAGGCGATTTCGGAGTTTTCAAGTTTTAATCCGAAAACGCAGCAACGCCTACCGACAAACCAAGTTAATGTCTATAACATTGTAGGCGCTAATGAGACATTTTAATCCCCTCCGTTGGACTTTAAGCACCACTTGAATAACAACGTCATATCATGTGGATTATCTTAATCTTTAACACCCCAAATTCGACGCAAATTATGTGGAGAAGGGATTATAATTATCTAGCGTCCAATATTCCTGCTCATCAGAAGGTGATCTCACAGTACAGGTCCTTTCCAGATGAGTTTATTATAAAAATCAGTTAACATCCGCATATTACACAAAATTTCCAGGTAACTGGTAGCCTTAGAAACTATGCTATTTAAGGTGAGTTGGTGAGCCTAATGATCAAATAGCGGCTTCGGGACAATCTTATGAGTCATGGGTAAATTTCGAAACTTCGGTTAGAAAAAGTTTCCGTTCTGCGCCGAATGTGGTGGTGACTGTTAGAGCCAAATACATAAACTATCCAGAATATTTTAAGTCAACTTCCCTCTAGAAGATTAAACAAAGAAGGGATAATGTACGAACCCAACATGATTGCAACTGAACTTGAAATACATCATTAATATTCTTCTGAACAAAAGTGAAGAATTCGAAAACTAATCAATACTACAATGAGGTTTGTCACTACTTTGCCTTAGAGTGTTGTTCATAGGAGCTGCATGTGGGGAAACCATTTTGAGAAGCACTGTGCTGGCATTTCAGAGAGTTGTCTCATTGTTCAAGTGACAGCTTGCTGCCACCACGCTACTTACTTCAGCTGTAGTAGCTAAATATTCGAAGCAAATTTTCGTCCATAGGCAATGGGGGCAAAAACCTGAGTGAACTTACTTTGCTTTGGCTTCGGAAGGTTCAGGATATGAAAAACATATTTATTTGCCATTTACATTATTAGTAACGAGTGACTAAACTGCAGTAGCCTCTTGCATCAATCGACAATTTATTCCAGGTTTTGCGGTGCTGGATTCTGAAGAATTGTGTGGGATAATTAAACCAGAGAACAACCAATGTCTCGATACTGCATAGTTTACGGGACTTCTTTATGTAGTAATCTTGATCGGATTTTCATACTGCCTAACCAGTGTGCCCGGAAGCAAACATCTTAACTAGATGACAACTAGATGACTAGGACATGAAAAACCGAGGATTCTGTGAAATTCTGTTGCTAAGCCCATTTCGCGGCCTGGATTTTGTTGATGCTTTTCGAGAGTTAGGCTACTGTGGCTGATCTTGAACTACGTTTGCTGGAAAATGGAGTAACTTCCAAATGAACTTCATAACCCACATCAATTATCATGTCAATTCGTGCTAGATTTCATGGCGAAGTATCGGCTTTTAGGTCACAGGTTTTGTGAGAGCATATCCTGGACTCGAGTGAATGAAACACCAAGATTTCCAGTTCTATTTTATAGATTGTTCAAACCAATTATGTATTGTGACAAAACCAAACCAAATAAATGGCTCCAGTTACTTTAATACTTGAGCGAAGTGACAAAGGTGGTTTGTTTAGTGAGATGATCTAAATCCCAAACGCTTCTTCCCGAGAGTTCAGAAAACTCAGCAGTACAGCAGAGGAAATGAGGAAACGCTGGTCTCAGTGATGAGCTCAATGAACAAGCTAGATAGAAATTTTCATGCCATGACTATCTTTGAGCGATTGATAGTCATCAATAGGGATGAGGAATGTAAGTAAAAATCAGGCAAAGTAGTGCGTCTGCTGGTTCAATGAGTTATGAAAAATTATTGACAGCGGTGAGTGCCTCCATAAAATCGTCAACTTATCAGAATATTACTGAACACTCATTGATGTGATGATAGGAACAAAAACAGTTATTTTATGTGAAGGATTCAGTGAATTGGCTAATGACAGTGTCAAGAGCTGATGAGTTAAGTGACATGTCATGAAGAACTCCATTCTATTCTTGAAGTTCAGTGGAAAAGTGGAAGCCACTAGAGACCCCTGTACCATCATTCTGAAGAATGCCTTCAAATGTGTCTTTCTATATCTGCCCCAGCTGTGTATATCTAAATTTTGGTCAGGTACATCACTGATTGTTCGTTCAACTCGTTCAATGCGTTCAACTCACCACGTCGGGCTTCGTGAGACAAACAAGAATGAAAGCTTCTAGCCATTTTTTAAAGAAAATTCAGATAGTGCGATAATGGTTTTGTTTGCAATGGAAGTTTTTTAAAGATAAAATACCCATATCTTGAAGAGCGCAAAAATCTATCCTAATGCAAGTTATTCACAGTGTTGACGCAATCTTGACGCATCGTTTGTGGGTTTTCGAATATTATCCAGGGGTTCGTGCACTCGATTCTCCCGACAGATTTACTTATTTCTTTGCTCAGAAAAATGATGTAGCTGCGCAATACATCTCTTTTTATAACAGATGAATTTCACTCAAAGAGTGGAACTAAAATTATATTAACACTTTATCACCTCTAGATAGTTATGTTTCCAGTGTGATCACCTGCGTCTGCATCCTGTCGCATGTACAATGAAAGAGTCCTCTCCGATAGGTCACGTAGCCATCCTCTTGATATATCGCTTGAATCATAACTGCTGAATGATCACGTAAAACATGTGCAATCGTCAACAAGACGCTATAGCCTCTTGCTACGCCAAAACCTGAGTGTAAGCCAAAAGTATATGAATAACTTACTTCCCAAATGAGACTCATTCATGAGGATAAGTCTGCCCTAACCATGCACTGCATCTTAACACGTGACAAACCATCTTTTGCAGAATCTCTGCTCGTCGCCTGGAGTATTTGTACTGGATTTGCGCTAACAAGTCCCGAACGTAAATGTGAAAGCAGCAGGAAAAGGAATGAAAGTATTTGAAGGACTTGCTGCATCAGAAAAGTCAATTAAGGTGATCTTTTGAAAGACACCACCGACAATACTGAGTCTTGGTCACATAATGCGAGAGTCAGAGGTGTCATTTCATTCCTATCGATAACCTCCTAACAACGAGCATCTTTGCGCCCTTCCACTACGGTTGCCTGTCTCCTCATTACTCTTCACAGAAATCCCTGGGTTTCAGAAAATTTCTTCCGCTTTATTGGGTAAATTTAGCTTCCAAACCAGGGTTGACCATCTACTTCAAAATGATTGCTTTTGGATGACACTCAGAAACCTCTGAAGATTCACGACAAAATCAAAATATTTCCCTGTCCAGAGATGAAAAATCAGCCATTTTCAGCGTGTACTGGTAAACGGGCGGTAGCACGTTGACCCTATATGTCAGATTACTGGAGTTCAAACTACAGCACAGTCAAGGGTATGCACTGCTGATGAGCTGTAATACTATTGCAGTGCTGACCCCAAAGATGGAATGTTCTTGGAAAATATGTTCGTAGGTACTGACCATCTAACTAGACTTTTAGGTGGAAAAGTGCAACATTCAGTCCTTGCTAGACGTGTGACAGTACCATTCCAGAGGGACGCCCTCACTGTCAAGGAAAACAGATGCTGTACTAAACCAAGTATCTGATGCTTCCATGCTGAGTTAATGTTCTCACCAAAACTGGCTTGCACTTTTAGCATGAGTCGAAATGTCTCATTCTACAGCCAGTTCACCTAGTTCCACCTTTGTCTGTTCCCATAAAACAACCACAGCTGAGCGCCTCATTAAACGTGCAGAGAGGCATTAGCCCAATTGACTTAAAGGTGAGGTTGTGCTGTAGTATCACATACTACTCAGTCAAGTCATTCATTCATAGCTGCTGTCAAAATGCATGAACCACTTGCTAAAATTATTTAATAATCACATTATGAACACAGATGAGGCATTAGAAATTCGGTTGTTCAACCGGTTTCTATGTACTTAAAAGATGAGCGTCCACGCCCCAGAGTCATTTTTCGGTGTTTGGTTTCTTCTCTACAGCTGGCGAATGTGTAATAAACAGAAATGTGAAAACTATTAATTGCACTCTTAGTTCTAAGGAGCGATCAAATTGAAGGATTATATTCCGAATACTAGTAATTTTAAATCACAGTCATATACGGAGTACACTGTATGCTGACACATATTTCTGGATGCACTACTTGACATGCACTATTTTATGCACTTTGCATTTATGTGTGAATGATCCTTTTCAGGCCACGCACCTGCATTTCTGCACACATTCAGCAAAGTTTCTAGCTGTGTTTGAGATGTCTATTATATGTCACTCCAATTTTTCAGCGGTCCGAGTGATAATCCATCAAATAGATGAAGCACAGAATCCGAATGGCGACTAAACCACGCTTACTGAAAGACTTCACAAATCACTTACATTTAAAAAGAGACAACTGCAGCTCATATGTTACCGAGCATAATTTCTGTGTCCGTTTTCGTCATAACACATTTCGGTACGTGTGCATTCTGCGTCGTACCATTTTGCCCAAGAAAGGCGAAAATTCGATTGAGGGAACAACATACCCACTAAGATTCCACTCAATGTAATTCTCCGATAGGCACTCAAAGGAACACATCCATGTTCAAACTGATGGTCATCAGGAGCATAAGATTAGGTACGTTGTGAATCCAGCGGTTATCAGAAAGAGTGTGAAATGTGGGTTATTCTCACGTTTGAGAAACCGTTCAACTTAATCTAGTTGTAACTAGGCGGATGCTTTTGGTCGAACGGAAGGGTGTTTGTCATCATACACTGACAAATCCTGGCCAGAATCCTCAGGTTTTTCAACCCACTAATTAAAGAGTACAAGGTCTTTCACTAAAATTATAACTCATTGTCCAACCAGATAGCGCCTGTGATAGAGGAGCTGCATTTGAATCAGACTGTTATATGACCAAAAGGTAGAATTTTGTATGCACGTGCCACTGCGGTTTCCATAAGTTAAGGAATGCTTAAAAGGAGAAAAAGACGAACAGGAAAAGGCTGAACCAACGTTTGTGGGTTTCACTTCGTCTGGGCACAGTGCTTGCCAGGATTAATCAGACACTGCATTACAGACACTAGTAGCGGATTCTTAGGTAGACATCTCGCCTAATCCCGATGGTTGCTAGCTGCTTGATGTTATCTTAGTTGTCTGGATACGCTTCGAACCAAGGTAGTCTCCAGACGGACTTCGGGGCTGTTTGCTACGTGGAGAGACCTGCCGCATTCTAGACAAATCAGATACGAAGTAGGCCAGACACCCCAACGAATCAACACGGATGACAGAAGCCGATGTCTAGTGACCTGTTGGCCTCACAACACCACCACTTACGGTTGTCTAAGGCACAGTCACACACCAACCCTTAGAAAAATCCAACATTTTGATTTATGTTAGATTTGCACTTGTAATCGGTTTAGCAGGCACGGCTACCAAGATCATACTTCGAACTGGTAATTATGAAGGTGAGTAATCAATGGATAAAAGGGTGAATCTTGGTGTTTTTCCCAAATTCCCCACTAGTTGTACGTCGAAGTTTAGCCTCAGTTGCTGCCGAATAAAAGCCTTGTGTTAGAGACTTTTATTCCTACGTAATCAAGTCGATTTGATTAAACGTCTGATCAGTAAAGCAGAAAATATGTGAAAATCAAGACTGAATCTAGACGGGTAATATCTGCTTGGGTGGTATGCATTATTTGAGTTGTGTATGATCGCTTTTTTCATTCAGCAAATTGCGGTTTACTGACGTTCTGTCAATTGAAGAGCTGAAGCTATCTGAAAGTCTGGTTGCTTAACCCAACGTACCTATATGTTAACGCCATAAAATAATTCGACGTCCCAACAGGCAAAACTGGTCGCTCGGTATAATGGTAGGTATGGTATAAGTGGAGGACTTAGAAATCATCCGCGAAACCATTTGCCATAATGAATCACTTCAAACACCCATAAAGCTACCTGACTAAGCCCGTAACAAATACGTCTTTCAACCCCTTCCAGTCGATGTTTTTTCCCTTATTTATTTTGCGACAGAACTATGGTGCTCGTCCTAACCAACCTGTCTGGACGGATATGCTCTGTGATACGTTAATTCATCATCAATATCAGCTGTAAGGAACGTGTACTTGTCGCACATTGGTTGTAGCTGCCACAGTCTCTTTTTACAAATGTGGGGTAGTTGGATGCGCATTGGAGGCGGGGGCTGATATAATTGATGCATAAATAAGAGGTTTGCAGTAAACCCTTATTTGGAGAGGAGGGGAAGAGTGTTATGAATTGGAGGCAATAGCTTGAATGTTCGAGCGCCATTAGGGGTACGGCTCGGTCATTTTTGACAATGTCTGCAAGTAGTGATGTGTCCTGTCTCGGGACCCCCATCCAGGGCGATGTTAGTGACCAGCGCAGCTAAGTTTTCTGGTAATTGCTTTCACACTTCGCTATCAAGTCATTGTTCGACCTCCTCGGGCTATTGCATACCCCTCGCGCGGTTATGTACAAAGAGGCATTTAAGAAATTCGGTCGAATGACATACACAGCACGTCACCAAGCAAGCGCAACCTATGGATTCTGGCGCACCTCAGCATTGCTGATGCGAAGTTCCTGCCAGACTTGAACAGCTCTCTGGAGATATCAACATCCTCGGCGCGCAGCGTCCAGGTGTCTGGTTTGTATAGTAACATGGGGGCGCAACGCAGCCTTGTAAAGTCAACCCTTGACGGCCAAGCTGATGTCACGCTTAAACCACAGATAATGTAGGTTCACACAAACTGATCCAGCCTTCCAAATCCGGATGGAGTTATCTTTCGCGATACCACCGCGACTAATACAGCTACCCAGGTAGACAAACTTGTCTACTACCACAATTCGCTCATCCGCAAGCGAGAGTTTAGGGTTCGCACACAACCAGTCTTGCAGCAGCACTACAATGTGTATGTGCGAAAGGTATGCCAAACCGTGAGTCAGGATTTTTTAAAGTCTATTTAATATTGTTCCCATTACCACGCCGTCAGATAATATAATGCTACTTCGTCTGCGTTCTTCATATTTGTGAGCGGATGCTCTGAGAGAACTTTGACTCTACAGGCATTTGAGACCCATAATGAGTCCACTATAATTGTATCAAGGACGAATTTAAAGTTGAAAGGCGAAAGAGGACAGCCTTGCCTGGTACCACTTGAGGTGGTGAACCCAGGCAAGAATTTTCCACAGACCTCCACACGTCCGCGAGGGTTGGCATCCAGCGCCTTAATTAGGGTCAGAAATCAATGGGGGACGCCTTAGTTCAACGGACACCACCCTAGTGCTTGACGATCAACAGAGTCAAAGTCAGCTTTCGGATCAAGGAACACAACCACTGTTGGTCGCTGGAAACAGTATCGCTGTTCCGGAGGGTGAAGGTGTGATCGACACATTCTCTTTCAGGAAAGAACACAGCTTAGTGTTCGCGTATCTGTCCCCCACTATGTTCCGTAGTCTTAGGCTTAGTTTACAGGACTAGACGAAGAATGTCTACACCTATATTGCATTCCAAGGTGCTGATCGTGGATATTACATACGCCTAAGAAACATCCCAACCAAAATATAGGTTTGCATAACAATGAATGCAAAATTTCTCAACACAAGCTAAATCGGAACATGCGCAGTGTCTTGAATCATATGTATATGTATATGTATATGTATATGTATATGTATATGTATATGTATATGTATATGTATATGTATATGTATATGTATATGTATATGTATATGTATATGTATATGTATATGTATATGTATATGTATATGTATATGTATATGTATATGTATATGTATATGTATATGTATATGTATATGTATATGTATATGTATATGTATATGTATATGTATATGTATATGTATATGTATATGTATATGTATATGTATATGTATATGTATATGTATATGTATATGTATATGTATATGTATATGTATATGTATATGTATATGTATATGTATATGTATATGTATATGTATATGTATATGTATATGTATATGTATATGTATATGTATATGTATATGTATATGTATATGTATATGTATATGTATATGTATATGTATATGTATATGTATATGTATATATGTATGTATATGTATATTTATTGTCAGTCGGCCGGAATCCCCTTCGTGAACCGTTGGGAAGCTGTAGGGGTTGACATTTTTCCAGTTGATTAGTAATCGAGGAATGGTCACCAATATGTATGAAGAAACAGAACCTCAAATTTACCAGCGTGTACTTCAAAGACTGCCAAATGCTTGGTCTTTTGCTTTTGTTTCTCCATCGAATAGATGCATGGAACGGAGAAGAATTTGGCAGTTGCAGTATACAAACTGGTCAGAAAATCCGATTCCAACCCAGTCGGTCACATTCATGATGTTTATGCGGAGAGTTGGGGCTGTCAATCCACATGAACATGGACCCATTATAGTACACTGTTCATTAGGAACGGGTAGAACTGGTGAGTTGAGCACTATTTGGACTATGGCTGTGAGTTCAACTGCAATGATTCGGAATTTCATGTTGAGAAAAATTTCTTGACAATTTCCACAAAGTCTGGGTAGCTTCCGCCATGGCTTCCAAAACAAGCTTTGTAGGGTTTGAAGCCATTTCCAAGTGCAGTTATGCATACCGCAGGATTGTATGCTAAAAGTAAAACGTGAGCGGTCAAACGGACGCAGAAACAACTTTTAATACGGTCTCGGCATCGCAAACATTGTTCTTCTCAAAAGAATTAATGAGTTACTGTCACTGATCAGACTAGAAGTATTATTACAACCGAAGAAATAAAAGTTGGCTCGTTTTCATTCGGATTCCTATTGAAGTCACATCCGGACATTTTCGGTTGTGTTATCACGTAAGCGAGCGTTTAGAAAATTAACTTTTAATCCGTAACAGAAGTGCTGTTAGTGTATTCAAATTATTTCTATTTCAAGACCTACTGGTTCGTAGGCTGTCGCGAGTCCATTCAAATATTTACCCCACCACTGTTAAGATCATCTTATACCAGTTCATCCCCACTTGTCAGCTTTTACTTCCCATATTATAAAGTGCTTGGTCAATTGCTTTCTCAAGTGAACTGATTCACCACGCAACATAAACAACTCCGTCACATGCTCAACATAAATGTGGTGCGCACACCTCGCTTCCATTAAGCTTGTGAGATTGCTGTGGTATACGAAATTTCTCACCAGGTGCACCGATTGCAAGGCTTTGATATGACGCTCGTATTTCCAGTATATTCTCCGTTGACATAGCCATCTTGAAACCCCGCACGCGTTGTGTCCTGGGAGCTAACAAACGGGCGATATTGGATAAAAGTATGCTCGTCATTGAAAAGTGTTTCCACTGTATGGTCGTATTCTGTTGGTGAAGTCGCCCTGTTTCACAAGCCATGATTACTTTCTTGCTCTTTGCGATTTCGTGCTACTGGCTTTAGCCGCCTAAACCGCCAATTTGAAACACATTACTCTAGATACGAAATCACAAAGAATTCTATAAAGCGAGCTTTTAACGGTTTGTTACTGGAACGATTTCAATGGTGATTTTTTGTTTGCTTTCAAAAAAACCACCATGATTAAGGGTCTGGAAGTGGAGGTTTGACTGTATCCATAAGAGTGCGTTGATATGGTTCCCATGGCTAACTTGGGAGTAACCACGACAACAGTGTTATCGTCATTTTTATCAGTGGTTATAGAGACGGTATACTTTCGAACTTAGTGCCCGTATTGTCAAGCTACTCCGACCAGAAGTGGAGTTCAGTGGTCGTGTGAATGCTACAAGTGAAAATTTTGCGTCATTTCCCTTGGAAACTACTTGGTATTCACCTTAGGTCATGAACAAGTCGTGGGCACCAAAGCAAACTCAGCGATTGCTAAGAAACCTATGTAGTGAAAAACAGCTCTTTCAGTGCCTGCTTTGCTCTGTATCAAATTCTACTCTTGACCAAACCTGGTATCAACATGAGCAACTAGTCAAAACTCCTGGTTCTCCTTTCCTGCGAAAAGCTGTAGAAATTGTACCAGCTTCCTTACCAGTATGGTGGTTCGCAGTTGCCCAATTTTCCCTCTAACGGTCACTGTATGAAATACTTTGGCAACTCACTTAAAAACAGAGCTTCTACAAGGGATTGGTTCCTTCGCGATTTTTCGCTGCTGAATGATGATCAAAAAACTTAAAAGGAAATAGTTACGTGTGGCCGTTCATATGAAATAATCCATTGTTTTCTTCTTAGGTGTTTTCATCGCTTTGGACATCCTCCTGGAACAGATCAAACTTGAACAAAATGTTGATGTGTTTGGCTTGGTAAATCGTTTGCGAACGCAGAGAATGCGTCTGGTAGAATCGGTGGATCAGTACGAACTCATTTATCATACCATAATGGATGCAATTTTGGACGGAAACACAGAAGTCTTTGCAAGAAATCTCTGCTCACATGTAGAACATTTGAATTCGATCCAAATAAACAATCACTTGATGAACAAAACTTCTGGCTTCACACATACAGAACTGGGATACACTGGTTTCCAACTTGAGTTTCGCAAGCTTAACAGTTCAGCGCCTTCGCCATCCGCGAGTACTCCAGCATCGTCACCGATCAGTTTGGCCAGTGGTACACATTTTCGTTACACAGGTGCGCATAAATCCATGATTCCAAGCGAGGTTGCCAACTTACCGGTAAGTTGGAAATTATTCGTATTGTGATGAGCCACTGCAGATTCGTCGGACCATGTCCATTCTTACTGTGGTCATTTTGAGTCACAAAAGAGTAGCTTATTTTTAATTATGACCAACTTCTAGATAGTTTGATATGAGTACATGTAATTAAATATTATTGTTGTTTTACTTACTGAAAGCCTGTGAAAAAATCGGAACGTGTCTTTGGTCAACTTGATAGAGCTGCTCATAAGCAGTAAGATCTTCCGTTTGGGAGGAAATTTGATGGAGTTTAACGTCAAGTATTCAAAAATCAGTTGTCCCTTTAGTAAATGGAAGCTTTATTTTTCTGACGTACTTCACCTGATGTCGGTTTGTGGACGTAATTTCAAATGCTCTTAGAGCGAAGCAGTGTCACTGTCATCCAAACGCCGATCAGACAGTCTGGATCAATGCCAAAGTTGCATTTGAGTGCTGTGTGTTCCGCTGTCAGTTTATCATTCGCTTGTGTTCCTTGTTGGCGAGTCTGTTTTACGAAACGAAGGTAAGAAAACAGGGATAGCAGTTAGATACGGCAGAATACGTTGAAGCTCTTTGGGCATCTTTTTTATGTTGAAAATCATGTCTGAGATGCGACGACAAATTTTCGTAACTTTGCAATTTAACCCTGCAGTGCCGCGGAGCACCCGTACATACAATTTCTAGCTTAGCTCCAAAGAATTCTGGCCAGACTTATCTGGTGACACGTTTGTTTATGTATATCAACTTGTGTGGTGAATCTTATCTAGTTATTCTCTCATACTGTTCGTAGTGGTACTAAGGGTGCATCTTGCTGAAAATATGAACTCAGCATTCGTTCCAGCGACGTTCCAACCGGGCAACTGTCAAGATCCTATTGGGTAAATCTAGTTTTTGGATCCAATGCTGTTTTAAAGAAATGAGAGCAAGCGGCAGGAATTCGATGGATTTCGGATCACGTGCAGTCTCTTTGATAGAAATGTGTATGCTTATAGAAAACAAAACCCAAATGGCGGCTCTTATAAACACAGATGGTTAATTCGAATGAACAAAAATCTTCACAGGTAGTTATCATCCTGAAGCCGGAGTCAATACGGTTTGCCCTTCTTTCCTCCTGTTTGCAATAATAACGTGGTGGGTTCGGGCTGGGTGATATCAGCAAGGGAAATGATGTAACGTTCAAATGAGGTGAAGGTAACCTGAGCTTTATTTATACGAGCTAATATAAGAAAGAAGTGAGCGACATCCGATGAAATGTTTATAGCTTGGGATGGACTATCTGTTTGACTCGTTTTATTGCTAAACTGCATAGGATGTTTTGGGAATATTACCGGTGAATTTAAACTCTTACGATTGAAGAAATCGTTGATGCTAAACCGGTGTTACTGTTGACTCACTTGTCGCATGCCTTTTTGTTCCAACGGAGTAGGGTTTTTCCTTCGCTTTCAAATAGCTAACAACATAACAAATGTCAAAAAACACATTTCAGCCAATCCGGGACATGTTGCTCTGGGTATGGCAAACAGCGCATACCGGCCAGTTGATTCTGACTGAGACAAACTGCTGTCTAGTTCACACCGGTAGACTACGCACAAAGGGACTTTTCCAACAGACAGAGAGACAGAGAGACTGAGCAACCTCAAAAGTGTGGCTTACTGCGGTGACATACTCAGGTGCAATCCTCCTGCATAGTGTGCATTCATCCATGGGCGTGTTAAGCGGTCCAGAGATGAAATTCATCCGACTGCCTGCTGTGAACAGCTGGTCGGACCGACTGTCCATTTCCCAGATTGGTCCGGTTTGCAGACAAATGAATATTTCCAGTAGCTAATTTGAAAATTGTGATTGTCCATTATATGGGCCTATTTAACTAATTTCCATATTCCTCAAAGTACTCTTAGATTTTTAGTATGAAAGTTTTACTTCTTGTCTGGTCTGTAGACAGTGGTGAGCATGGAAATCTCCAAAGTGTCTGCCAGCTGCGTCCGAGCCGTAAAATGAGAGGAGCTTCCTAGACAGAAAGTTTATGTAAATCAGCCAGCAAATTCTATAACCTAAATTTAGCAGTTTGGTGAAATTCGTTCCGCAGACCGAACTGCTAAAATTTAAAAAGCTGAATAATGTACACTCGCATATGTACGTGGGACACTGTTTGGTTAGGCCCATATCTAGGTCGTAGATATCCTGTTGTTATCGTTTATTAAATGCTGTGTTCCAGATCAACCAGTGCAAGAATCGCATCATCAGCATCGTGCCATTTGAGTGGAACCGAGTTCAACTGTGCCCGATTCGGGGAGTGGAAGGCTCGGACTACATCAATGCCAGTTTCGTAGATGGTTATCGAGACAAAAAAGCCTACATCGCGTGTCAAGCTCCAACGGCCTCAACAGTGGAAGATTTCTGGCGCATGGTTTGGGAGTACAAGAGCGAATGTATCGTGATGATGTGCAACATAAACGAAGGTGGACGTGTAAGCGTTTTTTGAATAAATTTATATATATAAGGTGAAACCTGAAATCTGCGTTTTTGAGGTCTTCTACTCGAGAAAGCTAAGAAAATTGTCAGCCCATTTTAAGAACGTCCACGGTTTTGCTATGCTGATATGAACCTGCGTTAACCAAGCGAAAAGCACTTGAAGAGAAGGCCCACACCTCAGTTAGTCCAGTACTTCCTTTGCTAAACATTTCAATGAGTACCCGAAAAATAACTAATGCTGAGAGCACGCTGGAGAATACGAATTATAACCAGTGCTCATGCGAGCCAACTGCATTTCTTATTCAGGTAAAATGTTTCAAATATTGGCCAAGTGAGAAGGCGTCGCGCTATCAGTTCTTTGTGGTAGATCCGACTACTGAGTACAATACAGCTGGCCATATTGTTCGTGAATTCAAGATCACAGATGCACGTGACGGTGAATCTCGTATCTTACGGCAGATGCAATTTACTCGTTGGCCTGAAAATGGTGTCCCACCAAGTGGTGACAGTCTGATCAGTTTGATTGGACAGGTGCAGAAGCTGAAAGCACAGTCAGGACATGATGGGCCCATTACAGTTCACTGCAGGTAACCACCCGAATGTTTATACCTATCAAACTACCTATTCTCTCATGTCAATCATCACCAACATAATCTTATTTGTTGAAAAATACCCACTAACTGATATTTATCGCTGGTGCTCCTGTAAGCCCCAACAACTTGGGGAATTTAAAAATTGTTTTTTGCTGATGATGTTGTTGTCAAACAAAGGTGTACATGTGACTCTGTAACAGCACATTCCTAAGTCAAATTCCCGAATGGTATTGGTGGGCACAAATGCTGTTCAATATTTTGTTTTTGAAAAAAATTCATGTTGTGTTGAGATATTCCCCCCTTTGTCTTATCGTTTGGAAAACAAAGTAGAATCAAACTTCTAAACCAACCCCAGATAACTACGTCTGTTGTCAAGTGCACACTAAATTTGCTAGGTTGGCCCCTAACAAGCAAGCAAGACAAGCATGAACACATTGGTTACCAACAAATAGTACTGTTTCAAGTTGTCTCGCGCGTAAAATAGCAGTTGTAAATATGCCTTCTCATAAATATCAACTCCATCTCTAGGCAGTTATCTACCACTAGTATGGGATTCAGCCAGCTGCGTACTCATCTGGTTTTCTGTGTATGGGAACTAGACAAGTGTTTCTGTCAACCTCGAGCCCAGTGCTTGATGCGGACTTAGGAATAGTTGTGCTCGAACTAGTGGACGACTGATCAAATTAGTGACATAAAGGTTAAATTTGCTTATTCCGCACAATCACCTACAACTAGTCAAGGTTTGTCTAGCAGCTTCTAAGCGTTTATGGCGGCCCTGAGTGTTGCGTCCTGAGAGAAGAATTGGGTTATCGACACAACCGGGACAATTACTGAGTCGTCGCTCGAGCCGCCAGGATAAAAGCCTTAAAGGTGAACTCGCTCAACTGTTCAAACGTGAACTTTCTGATTTTTCTAGGATGCGTTATTGGAGTGATACACTGGCCTCACGTGTCAGATGTCCCCAGTTGCAACCTCGGCACTTTTTGGAATGGACAAAACAGAATAATTGCACCAGAACAAAAGGAGGACCGTTCAGCCGTGAACTTGAAGCAACCAGAGCATGTTTAATCCGACGCTAACCCTGGATGCCTAAATGAACAACACATGCTCGTATGTTTGTGTGAAGATCTAAACGGTAGTGGGTGCTAGGAATACATCATGATAAGTCAAATTGCGTATGGGAAGTTGATTCCTAATTCACAACAGTTCATGCCATGTGTGAAAGAGCTCCTCGTACAATTCGGGAAACTCAGTTCGATTGACCCATTCAGAAAGTTTTGCAAATCGACCGACACTGCACCGAACGCTCTAGTTCTCACATATATTGCGGAATGACACATGCCACTAGGTGCGCCCGTAATGATCCATTGTGCATTATTTAGATGGAGAACCCATTTCAAGTCTGAAGCATAGCACCACTTGGGATAAAAGGTTGCTGAATGAATATAGTGGTTTTTCCTTATATAAATCAAACTTGTATCTAGCCTACGAACAAGGCACTTGGAACGGACTATTTGTACACCTGCTTTTCCGGTAAAGGTTGGCAAAAGATAGACTTTCGCCGTCACAGCATGCCACCAAGACACTGCAGAAAACGAGTATTGGGATCTGATAGATAAAAATGGTTACTGAGTGTGTAAGAGCCGTAGTATCACGATCTATTTGCACTACGCAGTTACTTGGCGAAAACTCTTAGAATCGCTTCAAATGCTGTCTTCTGGTTACCAATCTCAAACCCAACAGGGTTTCTTGGATTTGTGGTGTAGTGAGCGAAGGTGACTAATTACTTCAACAGAATTTGCAAACTTTGAACGCAAAAGCTACCCACCTTCTTGAAATATTTGGGTACCGACAAGACAAACACGCATATTGGGGCCTGGGAATTTAGATTGTCTTTGGTGGCACTGCTTTCGGCAAAAAAGTAGATGAATTTTACTGAAGACAGAGTCAGGTGAGTCTTACACGGAAAGCAAAGTCGTTTTTATTGCTAGTTTGTGTCCAAAAATGGATTAGGCTTGATCAGGTCAAAAGAGCAAGCTTTGTTAGGGTATTCTACCTTGAGCCCTCTAGTCAAAATTATGACCCAAAAAGTAGTTGTAGAATTTGGGATTTGTTTGAAGACCCTAAACTTAAACGTTAACTCAAAAGCCCTAAACGCGAGGTATAATTTTTCGGTCAACCTCCACATAAACGACTATATCAGACAAGGCTCCACCTCCAGTTTCTTTGGCAGAACCTTGCTGCCTAACAGCAACGTCTTCAGTATTGATCATAGGAGAATCCTGCATGACGGAGACGAATTAAAATGAGCCTATGAATCAAAGCCGGTGTATGCCCTACTATGAGTCGGGTACTTATCTACGGTTACCTGACCTTTAAGAACCCATGGATCGCCGGTCCAAAATATTCACTCACCTGTGGAGGACTGTATCGCCATCGAAGTGATGCCGCAGACGTTCATTAATATGCTAAGGTCACCAGCCTCAATTACCTTAAAACTCCGTAAGAAGGCTAACATTTGGACCAACAAGGCGGGTACTTTGAGATTGGGCATCATCTCGCCGATCGCTTCCACTGGTCACACAAGCCCAATCGGAACCACATACGATAAAGTTTGACGTGGATATATTTGTTCACTACTGTTTTCACGGCATGCATCAGTGGGACTAAACCTGACTAGCAAACCCACGAAATTCGGCTGACACGCAATCCAAAGGCAGCTGTTAGAAAATCGAGCAAATAAATATATTTTTACTCAAATCTGCAGAAGTAGCTGTTATGTACTACCTCCGTGTGGGAATTTGTGTATAAAGCTAAGTTTCACTTTTGAGAAGTTTATATTTACTTACAATTTCCTATCCATCGGCAATTCATCAAAATATATTGACGTTCAAACATTCAGTGGCTTAAATCCAGTTTGAGAATACAAAAGTTTAACACAAAAAATTTCGTTTCACTGTACGAGCAATCGGGTGTTCTCATGGTACTGTGGTTTCTGCGTAATCCGGGTCACCAAAATTGTAGTGAGTCATCAGTAATAAACAACAACCAGTTGGAGATCGGTGTATTTTCGCTGGAGTATTTTAAGCCAGGATATTCACGCTCGCAAGCAAAGCGAAGCCATCAACAGTGATATTATGGGTCATTTCTGTATTAACCTTTTCCACATTGTGGTTCAGATGTTTATGTTAATACACCAAGGGTCTCTTTGAAGAACCGCATGTCAAGTTCAACTTCGTGCTATCCTGCCAGTAACCATCGGCTGTATGTCAAAATGGGATTTTTGGAGTCTCTAGACTTCACCGAGAAGGAAGCTTTTGGACCTGACATGATGGAGTCACCTGTAAGCCTCAGACATTACCAACATTCTATGGGGCATTCTCAACAGAGATGATGTTAAATCTTCGTAAATGTATCCACTATAGGTTCAGGCAGTAAAATACGGCCAGAATACATGAGCGCTTTTTACTGTCGTTCCTGGCTGAAAGATGTACAAGATTTTTGGACAGTCCACAATAAGTTAAGCAAAAGGGATACGGTAATGTTGAAAAGCTCATTTAAGGCGTATAAAAAGATGATCTTTACATAAGTCATGTGGTATTGTATCTGGATGACTTACCTGATCTAAATGAAATAAGGGACGTAACTACACATGACCCATAAACAAATTCGGTGTTTTCGCCATTCTCGGTTGTAAATAGAGAGTCAAACGAAATCATCGTCGACATGCGTATCTTCGGAGTTTTTGACCGCTGGCAATTTCAACTAGTTAACAACATATCAACCAAAACCTTATTGGATGTGACCTCAACCTTTGGGTTTTTGTTTACATCAAGCTATTTACAAACATAAATTCCAGGTTGTTTTTGATGAAACACACCCCTGAGAAACCGACGAGGAAGTAGAGCAGGCACAGTACAACGTCGTCCTGTCCGAACTATTTAGGGGCGATTAGAAGGCCAAAAGAAAGTGTGCATACTTCGCACTATATTTAAATTCACGGTGGCTGAAAGTCAACAACTACCCTGGTATTGAATTTGTTATTCGCCGTGTTGTGGAGGAAAGCAAAATAAGAACGTCAACAATTGGCAAAACTCGCATATGCCACTTACCTTTCACACCACACTAGCTCTTAGTGACCACTTCTTAAAAAGATGGTTCAAAGTTGTGACAAAAAGGGGGTCACAGATTTGGTTGGGCTGGCTTGGTACGTTCAACCGCATTTTACAGCACTCTGCATGCCAGCGTGTGCAAATGTTTGTGGATCAAATAAGCAGTAATAGGGGCTTGGTGGAATTCAGATTTCTCTGCCACATTCCGGTAGTCACTGCGTGACACTTGGTCAACCAAAACAACAGCGTTTACTTCGATTTGGCTGGAGATATTTAGTGATAGCTGGTTCCGTGAACTATCATATTCCAGGTGAAATATTGTGAAAAATCAAGCGATGCACTTGCAGACCTATACTTGCATCCGATGAAAGCGCAAGGGGTGCGTTGAAAGAGGGCGTAGGCGAAAATATTTTTGGGTTCCATTCGCATGTAGTAAAATAATGACTATATAGTGATGACTCAGGCCAGCTTGTTCTTAGTAAGGTGCAGCAGTTTCTATCCTGGGTGAACACAGTAGCTTGAGTTGAGTTCGCTCTCCTGTATTCACAGTTTGTGTCAGCATTACACGTAAAAAAAGATATCAGTATTTCTTGCCGAATTTCGCTTGCCGAAATTTTGGGTAGTTCATTTCAAGTTCTCCTGCTTGCTTGCCCGTGAGACATTCCTTTGAACCAGCTGGGGACACTACACATGTAATCGTCGTCACTTATCCATTACCCATTTTCTCAACAAAAGCGTCCAACCACATCGATTTTACTCGATAGCAGATTCGCCCGATTTTTAAACGGTCGACAGTAACCTTGGGAGCGGGTGCTCCACAGTGACAATAATAAGGAAGAATGGTCTAAATGGTGAACATGTTTTCACCTTGTTAATGGGAAGGATTACGAAAACAGTGTTACTTATCCAGGGTAACATAAGTAAATTACTCAGTGAGAGCCTAAACATCAGTTGTATCTACCGCTGTAATCTCACACGTAAGAATAAAGCCTAGGGTCGGTAGGGGCACTTTTAAAGTGAACTACATATTTCTTCTGTAGCTTATAAATGCTGATATCCACCACGGATCAAAAAATGAACTTTTAAGGGTGTTCTGCAGCTTAATAGAGCAAAAATCTTGTAAAAAGGCGCAATTGTTAGAACCACTCAAACAGACTGCATTCAGTCGTTCTGTATATCCTAATGTCCGTTAGCTTTATTTGACTTCATGCATGAGTAAGCAAGTTTGCATCGACTTACGGGCTTCCAACATATTCAGTGATCAAAGTGAACTAGTAAAATTGACAGTCTTACAGGCTTATTACGATCCCACAGTAGACAACTCTGTCAGCCACGCACTTATTTTTTTTAGGTTGATTTATTCGGTTGTTACTCGAAACTTACTAGCTGTCCAGGTGATTGAACTGTTGAATGATTGCCACTGCGGTGACTCTAGGCTCTTCAAATCTAGAGCTTTAATAGCATTGGCATACGAATCTCCTCTCAATTACTGACTGTCTGGAGTAAAGGACTGTCCAACGCTGTGGGAAAGGGCAGTTGACTGAGAACATGACGCTTATGTCGGTAAGGAACTACATAAGCAATCTGGGTCAACGGTCCAATCCTGAAAATAGCAAATCACTGTGCTACCGAATAGGGTAGGAAGGATTCATTGTGGAACCACATAATGCGGATGCTCAGTATATATAGGAAACTAATGAGTCCAATGCTCTGGTATTGCACTTCAAGTCAACCTCAGTACGTTGAGTAGTCGCAGCTAAATACATCCTATACAGATGCAAGTCTGGGATTCCTTAGTGACTGATTTGATCGTTCCAAGTCCTATATAT